CTAACCTAACCTAACCTAACCTAACCTAACCTAACCTAACCTAACCTAACCTAACCTAACCTAACCTAACCTAACCTAACCTAACCTAACCTAAGGAGGCGGCGCGGGCGAGTGCGGGAGTGGTGGGGCCAGGACGGATGGCCGAGATGGAAGGACCTGCAGACATTGCGGGGGCAGAGGACGCATCGCGCTCGCTCACATGGACGGTGGACACTGCTGCTGGAGTCGGAGCCGGTGCTTGGTCCATGCCAGAGTCCGAGTCGTGCGGTGAAGGAACTTCCGTCGCCTTGCCTTTACCCTTGCCCTTGTCGGCACGGGGCGCCTTCGCGACAGGCCGTGGCTTAGGACCGGCCTTCGGCGGCTTGGGCGCGATGGCGGAGATGGCCTTCATGGCGATCGCCTGGGATTTGGCAGTCTCCGCCTTTTCCCTCTCAGCCCGCGCCTCCATAATCTCGGCCTGGGAGATAGCCTGGCGCGCCTCGGCCTTCGCCTTCTTGGCCAGCGAGGCGGCGCGCTTAGCCTGGGCGGCGGCCTCCTTCGCCTGGGCCTGGGCCTCCTTCGCCTGGGCCTCGGCGAGCTTGTCCTGTGCGGTCTTCTTCTTTCCCTTCGCCCGCTTAGCATCGGCCGCGGCGGAGGAAGGACCAGCGCCCGTCACATGCTGCTTCGACGACGATGCGGTGGTCTTCTTACGCCCCTTGTTCGCGCTAGTGCCGGCGCGCTTCGCCGAGTCGTCGATCTGAGTGTCCAAGTTTCCGGTGTCCCCTTCCCTGATGGCGGCCGCTTCCCTCTCGACGTCGGGGTCCTGCAGCATCTCCGAGTCGGCGACGATGTCGAGGGCTTTGCGTACCTCGTCGCCTGTGCGGTTGTCAGTATAGAACGGGTCCACAATGATATAAAAACTTACTCAGCTCCGATTGCTTGAAGAACGTCTCGTGCATGGCGCTCTTACTGCACGAAATTTGCGCGAGGATCGGGTCTATCCCCTCGCCGGCGATGAGGCGGTACACGATCACCCAGTCGTGCTGCATGTAACGCGAGACGCGCCCAATGAGTTGCCGGTCCTCTAGGGCTGACCATAGGGGCTCCTGCAAGCCAGTGAGCATAACCGCAATATCTGTTCGTCACGACACTCACGACGATGATCAGAATCCGGGCGAACCACAAGTTGAGGCCCGTGATGCCGACAGGAGAGATGATCAGCAGATTGCATGTTTTCGACGTCTCGAACTCCTTCAGACGCGCCTTGCGGATGTTGGCGGACTCCTTGCCGGTATACTCGATGTACTCGATGTGCCGTCTCTTGAGCATATCCGTCAGGAGCCAGGAGTGCATAGGAGTCATCATCATCAACACGGACTTGTCGGAGGGCATCTCCGGGCGCATCGTGTAGCTGCCGTTGGGACGCTCGACGTCGAGGCGGGGGATGAGCGTGTTCGGCGCGGCGGACTCGTCCGGGTCGATCATGGCCGGACCAAGCCCGCGTTCTGCCTGGTGATACTGCATGAGCTTGAAGATCATCTCGATCTTTGAGCTCTCGCCGTCGATGTAGGCCGCAGGTGGCTCAATCCTGTTGGGGCCCATGAGACGAGGGTGGAAGCATGCGACGCGTGACTCGCGATAGAATCCGTCCTGTGCACTGCGATGAGTAAATTGCATTGAAGCGTCGTTGATGGTCCCAGGACCGTCGCAGAGTGGGCAGCCCCGCCAGAAGTTAGTGCGGCATCCGGCGTGCCCCGCCGAACTGGTTTGAGGGTCCGCGGACCGCCAGCCTGAGAGAGCCCAGGGTGCACCATGTCACGTGCTGTGTGGCCGTCGCCCACACATTGACGGTCCAAGGACCGCTCCAGCGCCTGCGGGCCGAAGGGCAACGCGCAGGCAGCCAACCCCACACGTAGCTCACCGGGGTGACGGTCCTCGGACCGCCATCAGGAGAGAGACCCAGAGTGCGCTGTATCATGTGCGCACTGGCTGACGCCCCCCTTGACGGTCCAAGGACCACCTCCACATCTGCGCCCTGGGAAGCAGCGAGGGGAGCTCATGCGGGCGACGGTCCTTGGACCATCAGGTTGTTCGCGGAAAAGCTGAATGGGCTACGCTGCGTGCAGTAGCGGTCCATGGACCGCCAACGCTGCACTCAGGCCAATACGAAACTCACCAGTGTGCGGCCACCTTGCCCTCCTACGACGATCAGCTTGGTCAACGATTTGACGACGTCCAACTCGTTCGCCGACAACTGGAGCACCAGAAACTGCTCGTGGTACGGTGCCAGGCTGACGATGACATTGCCCTCGGGATCCGTTGTGCTTGCCGTGCGGTGAATGACGACCCCTGTGAGCACTTGACGGCCAAAGTTGACATAAGCAGACCGGGCCGCTGACAGCGCCTTGTGAGCCGCGTGAGCCTTGTCTCGGGCACGCCGAATTTTTGCGGGCAGATCGACGTCCATCGGAGTCGGGTCGCGTTGTGAGGAGGAGGGGGTTGCCACGCCGGACCCTGAGCCGCTCTTGGCTTGACGCTTCGCCTCGACGTTGCTGATGCGATTGCGGAGCGCGTCGGAGGCAACCTTGAGTCTGTCGCCGCGGGCACCGCCGCCTTTGCGCATGGCACTCGTGTACGCGCGATGCAGAGCGTCCTTGACGGCATGGTCCATCCACGGCACTCGTAGAAGGATGGCCTGGTTGCACAAGTCCTGCAAGAGCGTCAGCACGATGGCCCCATATAAAGAGCGGTGACTCACCGCAGGCTCCGTCACCACCGGCGTCGCGGACATCCCGACGATCAGCTTGGTCTTCTCTGACAACCCACGCACTGCGTGAAATGCCCGGCCAGGCTTGCGGTAGTCGTGCATCTCGTCGATGAAGAGAGAGGCGGGCGTGAAGTCAGCCCGGAACAGCGTGTTCGCGGTATACGTCTCACGGAACTTGAGGACTAAGTTCGATGACTGCCAGTCACGCACTGATGGGCAGGCGGTCACGAGGTCGTGCGTGAGAGCCTGTGGATACGAGGCTGAATGAGGCGGAACGACAAAAGAGACCATTTACTCACTGTCGCAGAAACAACGAGGATGACCATGCCACCCCTCGCGCGGCGGAGGACCTCGAAGACGGGCGCGCGGCTGGTGTCCTTACTCGTGCCTTCGTAAGGCAACACGATCACCGACTGAGGGAGCAGCACCCGCTCCAGCTCGCTCCGCCATTGCGCAGAGAGACTGTTTGGCACTACGACGACGTGAACTCGGCTCGCGATCGGCTCCAGCTTGTACTTCTCCGGGTCACCTACAAAGAATCTGGAATGAGCGGGGCCACACAACATCGCGCAAACTCACTGCCGAACTGCCCCGGCCACTTGCCGTGCTTCTCGTGGTGCTGGTGCGCAAAGTCGAGGTAACACATCGTCGCCACCGCCTGGATCGTCTTGCCGAGCCCGACGTCGTCGCACAACATGGCCGGGTTCCCGCGGAATAGTCTGTCAAGGATCGAGATGACCCCACCATACTGATGCCAGAGCAACGTCAGCGGCTGCACGCGATCCGGGACCTTCTTCAGCTGCTCCCACTTCGCGCCCGAAGCTTCCGTGAACTCGCGCTTGACGTCGATGAAGTGCGCAAAGTACGGCATCGCACCGTTACGAACGGCGGGTAGCGCCTCGGTCGTCGCGCTCGTGTTGGGGCGGAAGCGGCTCTCGGCCATCGCGACGCGGGCGGCTTCGGCTGCGGCCGCTGCAAGGGCCTTCGCCTCATTTGCTTTCGACGCTGCCTGGGAGGCTTCGTGGGCAAGTGTCGCGGCGTCCGTGTCCTCCGGTGCCGCAAGGTGGAGAGCGTTGGCCTCCTCCGCAGCGGCGTTCGCGGCGGCGGCAGCCTCGGCGGCGCGATTGAGTTTTGAAGCGGCTAATGCCTCGGCGCGGACAACGAGACGAAGGGGGGCGTGCGCGTTCGGGTCTGCGGGCCAGCCGATTGCCCACCGGATCTCTTCGACGTTGCAGTCTTCGTACTCCTCACAGCCAGAGCGCCAGTCCAGCAGCTCGTCTTCGGTGAGCATCGTCCCGACGTGGTCCGCCGTGATCTCCTCGCAGACGATGCGATCCATTTGGTCCTTGATCGCGGCGGTCTCTGAAGGGCTGGGCAGGTGCAAGATCGCCTCCCCCAACCAGGACGCGGCCTCTGTCGACGTCAATCAGTAATGCAAGTCTCTCGTCAAACGCGACACTCACTTGGTGCGTCAAAGCATGCCGCCCTGACGTCGTGCTCCAGACACTCGTGCGCGTCGCTGAGGGTCTTGTTTGTCTCCACCCGCAGCTCCGAATACTCACCCTCGCCGACGAACGGCTCCAGGTGTTTCTTCAGCGCATGCATGTCCTTGATATAATTTTGCAGCGCCGCCGCTGTGACATGCTCGCCGCTCACAATTTCTGCAGTGGCCATTAGTCGTCGAGGTTGTCACATATTTCAATACCACGTACTTTCGTGCGTCTTGCTCGTTAGCTTCCGCAGCTTGTCGACTTTGTCGATGTGTCTTCTGAGGTCGCTGTTCCATTGCTCGAACAAGATGGACACTACCCCTCCCGCGAAATGCTCGAGCGCCTTGAGCGGCATCAGCCCGTTCGCAACCATACCTTCTTCTCCAAACAGAACGCGAACGAGGGGCGTTCGCACTGGCCCCATCAGGCTGACGGAGTGGGGAATCTGCTCATAGGTCAGAAGCATACCACGAAACCCATGCCCGCCACGCACCCGATCTTTGTGGATCGCCGACTTTATAGTGATCCCGAACTCCTCCAGCAGATCCTCCGTTGTCTTCCGCAACGTCCAGTCCTTGTTCCATCGCCGCGTCACCCAGCCGCCAAGGGGCGCGGTATCCATCGCCGGATCGCTCTTGCTGACCCGGGGCGGGACCGTTTTGCGCTCCACCGCCGTCGCGAACAGCTTCCTGATAGCTTCGTGCTCCTCCTCGTCGTCGACATCCAACTCCTCCAGGGTGTACTCGTCGGACCAGGGCGGGGCCGGAGTACTCGCGCGCTCGCGCCAAGTTGGGAAGTCTTTCCACAGGTCCTTACCTGCAAGATGCAGTTCCACAGCGCAGCGTAGGAAAAGCGCAGTGTGGTGGTAGATGGGCATTGTGGGGGGAGACGGTGCGAATGGCTGGAACGGGAGGGGGGAGGGAGGGAGAGCGCTACGAACGCCGGCCATGCGCTGTATATGAGTAGCGCAGCCATCATCTGAGTCTGCTCCGCACGCCACATCAGGACACTTTTGGATCGTCCGCCCAATCTGCCGGTCATGCCGACGAGAACCCGACATCGTGATCATCGCCGGGACCGAGGCTTCCGCGTTGGGCCTAGTGCGATTTCATGGATGGTCCACGCGGTCACACCGGGAAGGTCCACGGACCGCTACTCTGGGAAGTCCGACATGTTGTAAAGAATGTGTGTAAGACTAAAAGTCACCGATCTGCGGTCCATGGACCGCCACTGCGAACGGAGCCCGTTGTGACGATGTGGTTTCACATTCATCAGCACCGCGTCCAAGCACCCGCAACAGCGCTGCGCGGCAATGCGCATGTACATGGCGGTCCTCGGACCGGCACTCCTCAACGCTCAACGCAATCACGTGACCCGGAGCCGATCCGGCCGTTATTCTCAGGCGGAGCGCCAGACCTTCCACGGGCTTCGCTGAGAGTAGCGGTCCCAGGACCGTCAATGCTGTCCCCTATATGTACTACAAACCCTCGAGCTGGAAGACATGCAGATGTGGTCTTTGGAAGACGGGCACTACAATTTGCGTGCGAGCGTGTACCAATACAAATGCCCTTCGCAATCGCTGTTCACCTCGTAGATGAACTCCACCACTAATCCCGTTACTACCAGCCACTCACACGCAGCGCTGCCGCTCGAACGTCAGCTTCGACTTAATATCATTGACTTGTCACTGACCAAACAACCGCCATGTTCGCTAGCTTGCGACTCTTCAGAATCTGCCTGCAGCTTTCTATGACACCGAACGACCGCACAGGACGCATCACGGATGCGTCTCGCACGCTTTGCAACGCCGCGTACAAGATCTGGGCTGCGCTCCAAATGTCATCCTTGCAGGTCGCCCACAAGGTCTTCGTATTCGGATGCACGGGGGTCGCCGTAGAAATGTGAAGTGCTCGCCGTACCAAGCCCATTCGCCTCTGCAATTACTTTATCAACTGCTCAACACCGTTGCCGCACAATCTACTCACCAGCAGAGTGGGCACGCTCATAAGAGGTTGCGCCGCCGTGCGCCACTGGTGTCCCCAATGTGAGATGCCTGGGTCGGAGTGCACCCTCGGGAGCAGGGCAATCACAATCACATACCCCACCCCTCCACTACCCAACAGATGCGGGCGTGCGGCCCCCGTTGCTGATACAAATGCTGACTTCTTCACTCCGCGAGCCGCGTACAATTCCACCAGCACTTCGATTGGCCGACCTGCGTCCGCTTGCTGATGTACGTACACCGTTCCCGTCTCGTCCTCGAGTGTCGTGACAATCCCAAAGTCGGTTTCATGAAGGGAGGTAACAATCCCCGCAACCATGATCTGAAAAGGTCTCAACTTTTCGTGCTCAGTTGCAATGCCACAGCAGCGAACCTCGTTCGCTGCCCACCCACGGAAGTAGGACCTGCATGTATGCATCTCCGAGTACGGATTGTATCTGGGCGTCGCCAGCCCGATTTGTAGGTCTGCTGCAGAACAATAGTAATTCGACAGCAGTTCTACTAGCTTTGCACAGTTTCAGCCACTTGGTGAACCACCAGTCATCCGGCACTCACCCATCTGGTCGCCTCGTCCTCGTCCAGAGCAACACCGTAGTCCGAGAGCAATCCCTTCATCAACGCCGCATTTTGTCCCAACTTTAACGGCACAACTTGGACAGAGACGATTAGAATGGTAGTGGTCTCAGACCCGTTACAGAGCTCACTCGTGTCTGAACCGTCCGCTAAGGGGGTCCACCATTGTTCGATCTGCCCTTCATTCGGCTCTTCAAATAGTGGACCGATAGCCGGTACCATCTCTTCTGCGATGCGTGCGAAAGACTTCCACAATATTTGCGCGATGTGATGCGCTACTCGGACGTCCGTGGTGCTCGACGTAGCTGTGGACAGGCTCGACATGACATCGTCGATCTCCGGAGTACGGACTAGCCCCGCTGCCTGAGGCCTAAAGGCGGGTGGGATTGCCTCGCTTGGCGTTGCCGTTTTCAGCCATGGGGGAGTCGGTACGACTGGCGACATTGGCAGGATGACTTGTACCTCAGGCATCGTGTTGTTGTTCCCCTCGCTCGTCTGCGGTGTCTCTTCCAGTGACTCGGGTTCACCAAACTGCAGGATCAACTCATCCGGAATATCCAAACGATACTGTTCCCATACTTCAGGCTCCACTACACCACACGTCAGCTCGGGCACTGTCTCTGTACCGTGACACGCACCGAAACTTGCGTCTACACTGTCGCTCATTGGGGCAAAGGCTTGCAAGCCATCTCCTTGCCCCCCCCCTGTATATATGTCAGCAATTAGGTCTGCTCTCACAAGAAGGGAGTGTTATGTCATTCATATAAGCCGCGTGACACAGGCACGTCGCGCGCACACATGCCGGGGCCACCATTGTTCTGCAGGCATTTCTAGGAGACGTTTATAAGGTTTGCAACCCACGTGCAGTCAGAAAAGCATTTGGATGGGTTTCTATGTGAGAGAGAAAACCTGACTCATCTTTCTCTCGGCTTTAATGTGGTACTAGAAAGATGATCACCCCAGTGTGACATTGTTAATGAGCGCCCACTGGCCACAAATTTCGAAGTAGTAGCCCAGATGTTTTATTCGGCTCTTTCATTATACTGCTTGACGGTCCCTGGACCGCCATCGCACAGTGGCACGGCCTGACAACACCCCCGGAAATGATGCGCTCTGTATTCGTAACAGATGGGGTCATATATTTTTGAGCTACTTCAGTCCGAGGCCTACTCATCATCAGGATAGTCCACAACGCCCAACACCTCGTCATTGTTGTCCTCGTCACACAGAATCCTCAGCATAATTCCATCGTTATGTTCTATCCTCGCCGACCACTGGCATGCCCACTGCGCATGATTCCATCTTCACTAATCCGATATATCGTACACATGTGATCTTGTTTGAAACACATTGTGCAACAATGTCCCGACGCAGGACAGTGTCGGATATAGTCGCGGCATTGGTCACACTTCAACCAACGACCGCACGTTAGCCAGGGGACCTGTCAATTGCGACGTGCCGCACCTCCACGATGAACGTCATAATCTGGGTTGAAGCTACGTCATCGGGCCCCGGGCTATGTTCGATGCCCACCGAAGGGCAGTGCAGTTGGCAAGACTTGGAGAAGGGAAGTGCAGAGTGCAAATTCGAACGGATCCTAAACTGGTCAAGTGGTGCGGCGCATTGTGGCATCTTCTTCGCTGCCAGCCAATTGAGGCTGGAAGATCTTGATGCCTCCGCGTCCCGTCGGGCTCGATTCGCCACCGGGCACGCAATCTAACGGTCCTTGGACCATCACCGTGAAGGGCCCTGTCCACGTTGACATGCGTGTGATCGTCGCTCCAATGTGGTCCCAATTTGGTTTATCATACTGACTATCGAGGCTAACCCGCTGCGCTATCCTATCTCATTTCACCACATACGGCTCGGTCGAGGTCCCTTGCTCCGGCCGCCATGGGCTTGGCACCTCGTGGTCTGCACTATCTCTCGTCCGCTCAGCACATGGCCCATCGCGTTCCCCATCCCATGACCTCCTTCGAAGCATATATATATATATATATCACAGGCACTTCTCAATCTTCTCTGTGTCCATCTCCAAAACATGCCAGCCCCATCCACACTCCGAGGGAGGATCATCCCCAAGCTCCGGGTACGGCCCACCTGTTTCCCACTCCATCAGTCGCTAATGCGCGACTTCCTAGTGCGACCAGTGTCAGGCGGCAGAAGGTCGCTGCTTCTGGGACTGCGACGACCCCGAGACGCCGCCCCATATGTGTCGAGGATGTTCTGACAACCCGCAGCGTATGGGTTGCACCTACAACTTTGTCTCGACCTCAGGCGCAGTGCTCTGTGAGTTTGATTTTTCACAATCCCTGCCATGCACATTCTCACATCGCCTCCAGTTGGCTCTTCTGACCCCATGGATGCCGTCGCATTCCTGGGACCCGATGGCTTCCACATCCGTAGCGGCCCATACACCGAGGAACACCGCTGCGCTGAGGCCATGATCGAGTGGTTCTGTTCCCACACCACCATTCACGAGTTCGAGATATTCGCTTCTGCGACCAACGACTTCCGCCCCTTCCTCCCCGTCGCGCTTGTGCCATTCCGGCGCTACGCCGCCGACCTCGTGTCCTCACGAGCTCTCCTCGCCGACCGCCTGCGCCAATGGGTCCTGACCTCCGGTCTCAACCCCCCCGTCGAGCCGACGCTGCTCATCTGGGAGCCACCTACACTCCGTATTCTCCCCATGCTCCGTCAGAACGATCTCCGTCAAGAGGATCGTGATGGCTGGAGGGCGTCGGGCAAGTGCGCCCTCGCCGACCACACAATGTCCATCAGCAGCCAGCACATCCAAGTCGACGTCACGGGCCTTGCGGATTTTAGGGCTCACAACATCGCACACCCCATCGACTGCCTCGGTCCCAACGACGCCAACGAGGAACAGCTCACCAAGCTCAACAACAACCGCCGCGAATTCGAGGCACTCTCTACCAGGGACGACCTGCCTTTGGCGTGGGTCCTCCGTCGCCAGATAGACATCGTCAACGAGGAGGAGGTCATGACCGACGTGCCCTTCCTTGTATACCCGCACAACGCCAACCCCACCGCGTTGTACCAGTTCAGCGATGCTTTGCGTTCAGAGACCACCGCGATCTCATTCCAAGGTCTTGGCCACCTCGCACATGATCTTCTCTACCGCGCCTTCGATGAGGGCAGTGACGAAAATGTAAGCTCATTTTCTTAACGTCCTTCTGGACTGCAACTGATGTCTTCCATGCAGACCGAGGTATGTTGTCCTTTCAATCCAGCTGACGTTCATGACCAACCATTTTCTAGGGGCACGCCTCCAGTCAGCGGTGGCTCTTGCTGTACCACTGCACAAATGAGAGCGGTTTTGAGCCACACCTGGCAAGGCATTGTGTCGCTTATCTCGCTCACGTGGGTGGGCGTCGGCAGAACTGCTTCATTCAGTGGAGCTGGATTTAGGACCGAGGTTGATATGTTTTATCTGACTACCCATTGAATTTGTTACTCGCCCGCATGCCTCACCTAAATGAATAGCTTGCTGCCTCCCTTGTCATGTGTGTAGGCTATTCAACAATTCACATGACCACAATTGTGATCTGAAATGTGCGCGTACAACACCGCAACAAATGGAGTAGCCTCCAAACCCGTCTTTTTGTTAACAACTCCTATCTTATATAGAGCCGCTTGAATCAACGAGGTGCCCCGATTTGGCGGTCTGCGGACCGCCATTGCGGGGGGCCAGGCACTCCACCAGGTCGTGCGATGCAGTCGCATTGAATATGGCGGTCCGCGGACCGTCAGCCAGCGTCGCCGCCACACCATCTTGCCGCTGACTGCCTCAGCTCGCCGGTCCAAGGACCGTCGCACCCAAATTGTTTGTGCAGTAACCGGGTGTCGTGCACCGCCTACCCGGCACCATCCCGAATTCAATACCCACCGGTATTGTTATACTGCCATTGACTACACGAGAAGCCCGACGATCTATAAAGAAGGGAGCGGTGGTGTTAGTAAGCCGCGTACGTCGCTTACAGCGATACGCGAAGTTAGCGAAGTTGCCGAAATAAGCGACTCTAACCGAGGTTTTGCCATGTGGCTTCCACGTGCGCCGGGCGGGTGGCCGAGCTGGCGAGGCCGCCCCAGGTCGGGACTGTCTTTCGGCCGAGTTTACGAGGTCGATGCGCGGGGCGATGAGACCGACCAATATTTTGTTATTGATTTTCGTGCAGGAGCGCGAGTGGGGCCAGGGGCAATCCCGTAGTGGGCCACAGTGCGTAGCGCCCTCGCGTACGACCGCGCGACGTGTAGCGCGACTCCGAGCGCACAGCCGCGACTACCGCGCACGCGCGACGATATCTCCGCGTGCACTGCAGACTCCCCCGCACGAGCCTAGCAAGGTGGGGCAATAGCATGATTTTGTATTGTGGAATTCATGGCATCTGCACGCGGTACAAGGGTATGTCCTACGTTCACGTCCTAACAGATATTTGGACATGAGCCCTCGCGCGCGAGCACAATGCTCACGGGTACTGTGCAATGCGCGCACGGTGCTCACGGCGGTGCGCTCGGACTCGCGCTACACGTCGTGCGGTCGTGCGCGAGGGTGCTACGCGCTGTGGCCCCTCCAAAACTAAAAACGACCCCACTCGCGCGTAACAACGGCCTATCGATGTTTTGGGCCAGCCATACAAGGCCGACCCCTCGCGACACTTCTCGCGTGCGGGCGCGCAAACGCCAGCGCGTGCGTATGCGTTAGAGCGTGACTGTTCGGGTACATGCCCCGCAGAACTGACTATATAAAACCTCACTATCCAACGGGGTAATTACCTCTCTCGCATCCAACGGGATCCTTCAAATCCACACCACCAACACACACGAGTGCATGTCGATAAAAGCTCTGCACGCCCTTTGCAGCACATGCTTCATTTTTTGCTATCACTGTAAGTATTATTTATAATATTCTCAAATACGTGCCCAGCGTCGTGTCTCGAGGGCCGAAGGCCCGTGCGCGCCGTGGCAACGCCACGGGTAAGAACTAGTAGCTTGTGAGTACCCTGGTCAGCATGGCTCGCTAGCGTGTCGCTCGCACTGAATGGTTCACGGCCGCACTCGCGGACAATGTGTACTCCGTTCCTGGGTGACATTCTACTATATGACAGTGGCGTCAAGCACCAGAACAAAGATAGACCACGATGAACGCTATTCAGTATAGGACAGATGACTGGACAGCACGCGTGACTACAGTCGCATACAAGAGCGGGCTGCAGCGACATTGGCTGCCTCGTGTAAGCGTCGCTGTTTCACAATCAATGACACATAGAAAAGCAATTATATTAGGTTTGCGAGCGACTGTGCTGTTACAAACAAAGAATCACTAATCTAAACGGCGCCTGCCCAACCGCCCTTCCCGAGCCAACTCCACGCCGCCTCCGCATCGCCTTTGTCCGCTGGCGCAACCCGGAGCGCCGCCGCGACGTCTTCACCATGCTCGAGTGCGTAGTCGAGCACGTCGAGCACGCCGTTGAAACCCTGGAGGCGAGGAACCGCCGCCTCCAGGGCCGCACGGTTCGGTCCGATCGCCCGGACGCCCGCCTGGATCTGGCGCATCGCTGCCAGAATCTCAACACGCGCAGTGTCGAGACGGTGAGTGCCGAGCGTGATGTCGCGTACCGCGTCCTCGAGGGAGGCCGGGGCGGGGGACTCGGGAGTCGTGGCGATTGGCGGGGTTGACCGGGTGGCAGGCTGTCCAGCGGGCGGGGCGGGTGGGGCGGAGGACGGGGCACCAGGGGGTCCGGCGGGTGAGGCGGAGAACGTGGGGGACGTCCGTCGGAAGCGGGGTGGTGGCGCGCCGATGTAGGCTGGCGCGATCGCAGGTGGAGAGCTAGAACGCTCGTGCGCCAGGTGGTGTCTGAAGGGGTACCAAGGGCGTGGCTTCCCGACGAATGCGACTGCGGTCGTACGTGAGGGCAGCGCCGGGACTTCGCGCTCGACGGGCTTCGCGTTTTTCTTCGTGGTGTGTTTGGCCTTGCGTTTCTTGCTGGCGATCGGGAGTGGGAGGTCATCGAACCAATCCTCCATACCTTCGCGCATGTGGCGGGACGCGTACCGCCGTTCGCGGGCAGGAGTAACGGCGTGGAGGAGGAATCTCGCCTTCGTCGCACCGAGTACGTGCTGGTCAGGGCGGTCGAAGAGGAGGCGCGCGGCGAGTGCGCGGCAGTCGTCGGGATCGAACCAGACACTGAGGGGGATGCTGGGGAACGTGTGCTCAAATCCAGGTTCGTGGATCGGCGTCCAGTCCCCTTCGGTCAGGTTCTCGATCGCGAACTCCATCACGCCTTGCGCGACAGCGCACGTGGCGAGTGGGAGGTTGCTGAGGACGCGGAATCCGTGGCCGGTGAACCAGCCCACGAACCCTACCTTCGGCACTACCAGACGCACGCATGGGATGGGTAGAATGCTGAGCATAACGAAGGGACTTACAGTCGACAATTCCATCGCCACGGATTCCATAAATCTTGCACCGACCCGCGGTGCCACCGCACCGGTCGCAGCCTTCGCGCGCTCCCATGCACCGCTTCTTGTTCTTGCAGCAGCCGTCGCACTAGCAAATGTTAGCCGTCATCATGAATACGACAAGCATACATACCTTGACAAGGGTTTGCATCGCCTGGGTGGTGTATTCGGGCACTTGCACCGGGCTGGCGGGGACCGGGGTCATGATGGCGATCGCAACGGGCATGGTGGATGGAGGGGTAGGCAGTGAGCAGAGTGAAAGATGAAGCAGAGAAGGGCGGGGATGAGGAGCAGAGGGAACAGTTGGTGGGAAACGGGTGGGGCGCATGCGCGACCACTGGTTCGGGCGCTCCGGCAACGGCGTCCAAACAAAGCGTCCAAATAAACAAGTGGCGGCCAAACACGACCCCGTGATCAAACTCAACCGCTTGATGTCATCTCCTGGCCGCGTCACCCCGGCCCGCGTCTGCCTCTCACGTCCCCCGGCCCGTGTTCCCGGCACATGTCTCCCTCCCGCCCACGTTCACCTCCGGCATCTCCCGCCCGCGGTCACCTCCGGCATCTCCCTCCCACATCCCCCGGCCCGTGTCTCCGACATCTCCTGCCCACGTCCCCCTGCCCACGTCCCCGTCCCGTGTTCCCGGCACATGCCTCCCTCGCGCCTACCACGACGGGCAACGGCTCAGCTTCTTGCCCTCCCTTCCCACCTCAGTCTACCCCCAGCACCTCCCAGCTAACTTCCTCACCTTTGTTTATCGCCTCTCCCTCCCACCCACATCTACTGCCACGTGTCTGCCCATGCCCAGGTGCTTTAGGGCCGTTTGGAAACACACTATAGTGCGCAAAGATGGCTCCACCTCCGCGACTCCGCTGCTCCACGGCATCGCGGCGCGCTGGTCAAACGCCCGTCACGCATCTGCAGTGTGACCGGGCTGGCGCACGCGAACTGGCTGCAGGTCGCGTCGCGTCATCGATCATCTTTATAATGTCCACGCTAACCACCGTAATGAAGGTGAGAGACTCCGGAGAGGTTAGGAAGACGAGGTCGGCGCGGTGGTATGATCGCCTCAGCGGGTGAGCGACTCGGCGGGATGTCACGGTGACAGTCACGCGGGCCACTGGCCAGACTCCAATGCTCCAACTCACGATTCCTCCGGTGCACCATCGTAAGATTCCAAACGGCCCTTTTGATCGCCATCTGACCGCTCAATACTACTTAGCCCATGTGCATACTAAACGTCATTATCAATCTCTTGTCGTTCCAATACATCTCCCTCCACATCCTGAACGTCATGTGTGTTGCCCTTCCGTCTCTCATTTGCCCGTCCATGGACCGCCACCCACCCTGACCCCAGATATCTAATATGCCGGAGGTCCTGTGTAGGCTGATGATTGTATTCAGTGTCAATATATTTCAAGTATTGGCATTGCTACGCCGAATGCCGGTCCGAGGACCGTCACCCCATACGGTCCCTCCCTGCCTCCCATGTTGATCATGATATAACCGCGTGTGGAGCGTCACTTTCCCCAAAGCCACTTTTGTTGACATCAAATATTGCTCACCCACTCATGCGTTCTTGATGGTCCCGGGACCGTCGCCGCGGGCAGCCCCCAAACGTCAACACTGCCACCTTGTTCCCACAGCACCCAGGCGGTCCTAGGACCGCCACTCCGTAGTGAGCCTCATTGCGCGCTTGCCGCACACAGCCACGTGATGCTCTGTGTACCTGCCCCTATGGTGGGTGCCGGTCCGAGGACCAGCACCCGCAGGTGCAGTGCACTGGCTCACAGTAGGCGCCGCATTAGGCGCCACCAAGGGAAACGCACCGTGCTCCCTGTGCGTGCACTAGACGCCTCCAAGGCAGCATTAGGCGCCACCAAGGGAAACGCACCGTGCTCCCTGTGCGTGCACTAGACGCCTCCAAGGCAGCATTAGGCGCCACCAAGGGAAACGCACCGTGCTCCCTGTGCGTGCACTAGACGCCTCCAAGGCAGCATTAGGCGCCACCAAGGGAAACGCACCGTGCTCCCTGTGCTTGCACTAGACGCCTCCAAGGCAGCATTAGACGCCACCAAGGGAAACGCATCGTGCTCCCTGTGCGTGCACTAGACGCCTCCAAGGCAGCATTAGGCGCCACCAAGGGAAACGCATCGTGCTCCCTGTGCGTGCACTAGACGCCTCCAAGGCAGCATTTGTGCTCTCCTCTTCTCCACATCTCCCCAACTCTCATACCTAGAGGGGGGTCTATATAACCTAACCTAACCTATGACGGATCGAACGACACCGAGATCGCAATGAACGGACGGCGGGAAGGGGATGGATGGCACGAGGAGTGGGTGGGTATATCTCTGACTGCCCAGCTGGATTACGCGTGGGCATCCGCGCGCATTCCCACCTGCCCCTTTCGGCGGCACCTGGCTCTACGTACGGATGTCCGCGCGCACAGCACGATGATTCGCGCGCACCGCCATAGACGGTGTCTCAAATGTGCGCGATGGTTCGTGCACGTATCGGTGGATGCGACGTCCGACGTGCGCGATAGATCGCGGACGTTTGAGACGCTGTCTACAGATGTGCGCGAACCATCGTGCAGATAACAACTATGCTATGCAAAGCACCCACAGTCCATGTGCCCGATGGTTCGCGCACATATCAGTGGGTGCAACGTCCAATGTGCACAATGTATCACAAACATGTGAGACACCGTCTACGATGATGGGCGCGAACCATCGCACACATTACACCCTAGTACACTTCACCATGTGTGCGATGGTTCGCACACATTACACCCTACACTCCACCATGTGTGCGATGGTTCGCGCACATTACAACTATGCTCCATGTGCGCGATGGATCGCAGACACTGTCTACGGATGTGCGCGCACCATCGCGCACATGGCAACTATGCTGTGTGAGGCACCCACAGTCCATGTGCGCGATGGTTCGCGCCCTTTTGGGTGGGCGCTAGTTCTACCCCTCATGAAGTTGTTACCCTCCGGACCTTAAAAAAAGGCCTCTCTTATACACCTCCGATAACAGGGGTCCGAGGCTCGAGCTGTCCGCCAAGCCTCAAGAGGCTATCGTAGACTAGCTATAATACAGATGGTGATGCCGCAGGAGTGGGGATGGGTGAGATGTGGTGGACAACGATATTGTACAGTGATAATGAAAAGAGTGTGGGGATGGAAAGAACAATACGTGTGTAGAAAAGACTCAAAGCCTGGTCCGGAGCGAGTTCATCTGTCTCCATCGCTATCATCGCCATCGCCACCGACGAAGAAGGAGAACCGTGGCGAGTCCGGCCGCGGCGGGGGCGGCGCAACCCGGAACTGCACGGCGTCGGCGTTCTTGACATGCCTCGCGCGGAGCGGCGGCGATGAAGGCAGCCGGACCACCGGGCTCGAACCTGTCACGTCCATCCTTCCCACCGCGCCCGGGTGCGGCGTCGGTGCGCGCGGAGGTGGCAGAGGATCGTAATGAGGAGGCGCGTCTGTCTCGAGGGCGGTGTAGGGAGGTGCAGCGCCAGTCGAAGGTACCGGCGGCGGCAGCGCGACCACGATCTGCGCGAGCTCTTCGGAGGCCTCGAGCGCGGTTGTGAGTTCAAGCGCGTCATCTTCTGATGCCGCGCCTGCGTCGTAAACGGTGAGCTCGTATGGTGGCCCGACCTGGGAGAGATCCTCCATCGAGGGGAGGCGCGGTTGAGGTTGTGGGATCGGAGGGAGGGGTGTTGGGTACATTCGGACGAGCAGCTGCCACCGTGCCCTCCAGCTCATCTCAGAGGGTACCGAGAACACAGCACAGGGGAGCGAACTCGAAGGGGAGAGCACGGAAGGCGACGGGGTGGCGAATCGGTGGTTGTCTTCAAATTCGTCGTCCATGACGACAATAGACCCTTGCACTTGCACGGGCACCGCGGCCCGGGTGTCCGCCGTCGCGTCCTGACTGTACGTCGAAGCCGGCGAGTCGGGCTCCGTCCATGCCCGGGCGGCGCGGTTGCCAATTGACGACAAGGTAGGAGAGCCCCAGGAAGACAACGAAGTGGCCTCGCGCACGCGCCGCAGCATGTCGTTGAGAAAAACGGCCTTGCTGAGTCCGTACGATGGCCAGTGAAGGAAAGCGCGGTCAATGGCCTCACTGTATGGGTCGTGGAGGTCGGAAATGTCGCCGACCCGGGGGAAGATGGCACTGCGAGGGTCGAAACACTGCCATCGCGGCTCGGGGTGCGCACCATGCCTGGTCAGGGAGTGATCGTGTGAGGGTGGTTGGATGCCGTTGGCGGTGAACCAGGGCGTGTCGCGAGAGCGGGGAAGAACAGGTGACTCTGGGAGATAGTTTGAGGGGGTAGACGGGAAGGAGGACATGGGAGAAGACGACGACGACGAAGAAGGGGACGAGGCGTAGTGGCGAAGGGTCTCGTCGTAGACCCACCAAGCGTAGTGGCGGCGGTACCAGAGCATAGCCTTGAGATTCGAGAGCGCATGATTTGACCAGCCGTAGTGGGCGTGTGGATGGTGCTCTTCCATGGGAGGAGGGGGAGTGGGCGGCCAGGGGTGGATTTGTTGGGTGGTGGATGGAGGAGAGAAGAGGGAGGGGAGGGCGCACTCGCCATGCCGTGCGTCCCAGTCTACGTCCAGATCACTCTCTTCCTCTCCTTCTGACGCGGGCGGGGACGACCAGAGCGCGTCCTCAGACGGAGAAGTGGGCGAGGGCGGGGACGGGGGACACAGTGGGGCAAGGTGGACCTTGATATCTTCGTCCGAATCGCTGCTGCAAGAGCTAGAGGGGCTGCTTCCGCAGTCACTGTTGGGCGAATCGAGAGGAGGGAGATCGAGAGTGTGGAGCGGCGCAAGGTCGGGGCGGAGGGGGAGGAAGGGGGAGGAGCGCTGGAGAGGTGGCCGATGCCCAGCACGGCTGGGTGAACGGGGAGCGGGCTGAACGTCGATGGAGAGGGCGGCCATCGCGGGTATGCAGCGTGCTAGGTAGACGGAAGAGATGGGTACACGACCGGGATCGCAGGCAAGAAGGTGACTCACGTACGGCGGATATCTGGATAGCTGGCTGTATGCGGGTGGTATCTGGAGCCGACTCGCGAGCGGTGGACACGGGACGCGGAGTGCGCAATTTATGAAGGCAGTCGGACGTGTACAGTGAGGAGTAGAGGGGACGGGTGTCCGAGTGCGCGGGGACGTGGGGGGCGGAGGACAAGGGTGGGGGTTGTGGTTGAGGACGTTGAGGCCAGTGGTGGCACGCGATTGCTACGCGTGCATCACGGGGACGCGCCTCGGCTACGCGCTGACTCTTGAGTTCGAACCCGCCTCGTCCAATCCCCCTTGCCACTCTACACGCTCGGCAGACCTGTCTTCCACTGGCGCATCCGACCCAACGAGGGCAGACACGGATCTACTTCTTGGGCAGTTGCAGCGGCCGAGGAGCGTCTGACGACGTCGACACCCCGATCACCTTCACGATCTCAGCCGTATCCACGCACCTCCCTCTCTGTCCTCACTTCTCTCGTCCATTCCTCGCGTGAACATGACGCAGGTCGTCTAATACGGCCTATCGAAACTGGGCAACCCTCGCAGTCGAGATGCACAAATCCCTCCGGCTCTGCTGTGGTCTAGTTCGCAGCACCACCGAACTTTGTCTCTACGCTCGGTCACGACCACTCTTCGATCACCCACGTTGAAGCAACCCTTCTCACGTTAGAAATGTGGTCAAAACATAGCCAATAACCCTGGTTGGGAACTCGTCGAGCGTCCAGGGCTAGTTTGGCTAGGCCAATGAGCAGGTGCGAGTCGTCCGCACCTCCTCCGTTGATCTGTTCTCTCCTTCCTTACCTCGTCCAGACTCTGCTGACCTGCACGCTCCCATCGGCCACAGTTTTGGTCCGCCGACGTCCATCTCTCTCGCGATGTCCTAGATTAAGCGTTCGCGGGTTAGATCCAAGTGCTTTGTGTTCGTTGGCGCGTTTGTATACATACCGTAGGACTCGCAATGACATGGAACGAGCACTCTGCGACCAGGTTCACCAGCCTTCGCCGCGCAGACGCGTACGTCCGCTCGCTCGCCGTACCGGCCGAACGCCCGCAACGAGTTCCGATCATACATGCAGGACCACGCAGCAAGAGTATGAAGCGTAGCGATTGCAATGAATACAAAGACACTAAACGGAATATGGCGTAGTCTACACGTACGTACGAGGCAGGGAACATGCAGAGAAGAGAGAGAAGAGACGGAGCATTGCGAGTGAGAGTGAGAGTAATATAATGGGGCGTGACGACGAAAAGCGGGCAGAACGAGGGTGGGCAGGGCGGTCGACGCAGAACAAACAAGAGTGAGCAGCGACGGCCATCTCCCCGTCGGACAGCAGCGACAACGATATACAATAGAACAGTCCACACAAACCGACACAGGTATCGTCCCGCCTGCTCACGCCGCGGCCTCGCCCTCCTTCTCCATCTCCCCGTTCTCCCCCGGTGCGGTGGAGGCGACGCGGTCACCGGCGACGCCAACGCGGAGCTCACCCCACTCCCGTTCGCCCCCGCTGACGCCCCGCACCCCCAGCAGCGTTGAACATCGCCTTGATCGTCAGCTCGTTGCGCCGCTGCCGCACCCGCTCCACCTCCTCCGCCCCGCCCGTCATCCGCAGCTTCTTGCCCGACACGAAACCCTCGAGCTCGTTCTGGAACTCGTCCGTCCGGTTCGCCAGATCTTTCGCACGGGAACGCTCGTTCGCCTGGATAGCCTTCATCCGCGCTTCGGGGTCCACTGCCGCGCCGCGGATCTCGAACATAACCGTCGAGATCCCGCCGTGGCCCTCTTCTGTGAGCGGCGGCTTGAACGCGGGCGTGCGTCGCTTCCCAGAGCTCGATCCGCGGAGCGAGATGACCTTCTCGACGTGACCCAAGACCTCGAGGACGGCCTTGTGGTCCTCGAAGAGATCCTCAAGGAACTCCTCTTGGTGCTGGAGGAACTGCTGCTCCTCGACGATGTTCTGGAGCTCCTCCTCCCACGTCTTCTTCCACATCGGCTTCACCGTCTGGATGTGATCCCGCAGGCTCTGCAGCTCCTGAGTCATCGCGTCCACGTCCCCGCGGACCTGCTTGAGCACCACGGTGCGCGGGGAGACGTTCCGCTTGAGCACGTCGTCCTTGATGTTCTCCACCGTGTCTTGAAGCTCCTCCATCTTCGTCAGCACGCTGCTCGACCGCGTGTCCAGCTTCGCCTTGCCCGTGTCAATGTACGCACGCGCGCCGCCGACCTGCGCGCTCGCGAGTTGTTTGACGGTCGCAGTCTGCGACCTGAGCGTGCCGAGAGAGTCCTTGGTGGACCTCATGAACTCGGTGTAGAGCTGGCGCATGATGCCGAGGTCGCGCCGGAGATTCTGCACTTCGTCGAACTGCGTCTTCAGGTCGGACACGACCCGGGTCGTGTACTCGGACGCGCCCGTCATCTGCGGTTGTAGCGTCGTCCCGGTCCACTGCGGCGCGAGGGGTTCCATGGTTGGCGGCAAGCCTGAGATGGGCTCAGCGCTCTTCTCGCGCTTCGAGGGAGTCTTCTGGTCGGGGAGCATGCGCGATATCCGCCGAGCTGCGTCCCGGAACACGGCTTCGGGCGGTCGCGGCGCAGCGGGCGTGGATTCCATCGGCTGGGCGATGATGGTCGACGTTCTGCGATTGCTAACGACAGCGGTTCGAAGGTCCTTGATGTCCTGCTGCAGCGACGAAATTTGCGTGTCGATGTGCTGCTTGATTTGATCAAGCGCTGGGGACGTGGACAGTCAGTCACCGTGCTCTCGCTCAAGAAAAGGTGACTCACGCTCAATGTTCAGCGATAGCAGCACCTTCGGCTTCACCTCCTCCACATCCTCCAGCTCGTACTGCACTCCGCTCGCCGGGTCGCGGATGTAGATCGGGGGGAAGTTGTCCTGGCCCGGCGAGTACGAGAACCGGTCGACGAACAGCATCCGTAGCGTCGACAGGGAAAGTGGCGGTTCGAGCTGGACCTTCTTGACCTCCCGGCCGACCTGGAGAAACACTTGAAATGGCTTCCCGGGCTCATACTCCGGCTCGCGCGGCACCTCCGGCGTTGCTAGCCCGTTCACCATCTCGCTCGACCCCGATGAGACGACCACGGCCGGCACTGGGGACGGCGCCATGGGCAACGGTGGTACCGGGGGCGGCTCCTCTCCCTCTTCGATCGCGGGGGCACGATTCCGCTGCGACCGGGTCCCCTTCTTGCGCGGACTTGCAGTCTCGCCATCCTCCGCGAGCGCGGCGAGGTCGCCCGGAGTGAGCTGTCCGTTCGCGGCGAGCAGTGAGCGTCGGTTGCCCGCACCGGTCCCTCCGCCACCGCGCTCACGGACGGTGCCACCGGTCATCTTGGAGATGTTGTATGTCGAGAAACGCTTCGACGCGCGCCGCTCGAGCGCCTCGGCCTTCTTGAGTGCGGCGAGCGACGTTTGGACCGCGGGAGCTTGTTCGAGCGGTACGCTGTCGGTCGGGGGGCTGTTGGGCGTCAAGGGTTCCGGGGGTGGCGGCGGCGGCGTAGCACTCTCTTCGATCACGACGGTGGGGGGAGAAGGGACGGGCGCGTCCACGAGCGAGAATCGCTTGACATGGCTCGGCACGGGGGCTTGCGTTGGCGGGGCAGAGGAAAGATCGGGCGGGGGTGGGGGAGTTCCAAACCCGTTGGTTTGGCTGCGCGGGTCGCGCGGGAAGTTGGGGTCGGCGGAAGAGGTGGAATACGCACGGGGAAGCGGGACAGACATAGAGGAGCTGACAGACTGGCGTGGTTGTACAGGTGTTGACGAGCGCGCTGACCGCGCCTGGTCTTCGGGCATGGTGCCCGGGGCTGCAAAGCCGCCTATAAACGGCTCGAGCTGGGCGTTCGGCATAGGCGGGGAAAGTGTGCCGTTTTCCTGGCCCGTCGTCTCCGTCTTTGAGGCGCACCAGAGTTCGATGGGGTGGTGCTTCGTGGGGGAACGTCGTTGGAGGGTGTGGGGCGACGGGAGGACTGGCGCGATATACCGTCCTCCCGCACGCTCCGTGAACTGCGGGAGTCGCGATCGCTGCCGTTTCCGCTCTTCTGGTCGGAGACGATGCGCCGATATATCGACTGTTTGCCGCGCAGACCTTGGAGCAGACTTGTGATAATCTTGCGCACCTCGGGGAGGAAAATCTCGAGATTGTTCGTTGTTGCCTCCTCGGAAAGACAGGACTCGAGGACGCTACGGAGGTCTTCTGGCACGCCCGAAAGCTCACTGAATGGGCGGGTACTTATAGAGTGTACGGGCAGGCAGCAGCGTGGCAGACGCACCTCATGTCGATTCCGAACGCACTGAATGCGGCAACAGCGGCATTGAAGTCGTTGCCCAGCCGGACATAAACGTCGCTGACTGGTTCTCATCGACGATGTTCTTGCTCCATTGTGTGAGGGATTCGAGGAGGACTTTGATCGACACCAGTAATCTAGTGACTGCGGACTCGACGGCGGGCTAAAGAAACCGTCAGCGAAAGGCCGCAGGTATGATGGAAGGACAAGATGAAAGATGATGAACAAAACGCATTCGCGAAAGGACGGACAGTGATGATACGCGAGAAAGTTGTGGGTGATCACATCACCTGGTCCGAACCAGGTGCACCTCCCGCAACGTCCCACCCGGTGTGCGTAGCATCCAACGCGATCTCTCGCTATCACCCAGGGCGCATATAGGCAGGGGGTATATGCAGAAACGTCCCCCCATTGCCCACACGATCTCGGCCATACGAAAGTAAAAGAGGGGTTGTGACACTGACGGAAGGCCGCGACGCAGAGCTCGCCTTCATCATCCACGGATAGCGGACGAAGATGTAGGGGAGCGCAACTTTCACGGGGGTGGTGCGGTTGCGAGAGGACGAGGAACGGGTAGCAATCATGTAGGTTCTGGGAGAGGAGGATGTGGTGAGGTGGAGATGGGTGAAGGGATTCAAGAGCAGGGATCCAGGTCTTTCAGGCGCAGGGGGTGTGAACGGGGAGGGGATATAGGGAAGGTAGGACGAGAGGAGGGGGCAACATCGGGGATCCAGATGGGAAACTGCGCCATCTTCTTCGTGGACAGACGGCGGACGGTTGCCAGTTCGATAGGAGTGGGAGATGATACGAGCGCGAGAAAGGTGCGATGGGCGGTGAAGGCATGCGCACTTACGTTGGGTTGAGAGCGGGCCCGTTCGCTTCTTGAGGAGGAGGCGGAGACGGTGGAGGAGGTTGACTGGTTCGTCGCACGCCTCGAAGAATGTGATGTCCGCGACGACATGGATGAGGATTCTGAGGGATAAAAAGGAGAACAGGAGCGGTGGAGAGATGGCCAAAGGCCAGGAGGAGAGGAAGGGCAAAATGGAGGAAGGGAGCAAACGGCTGAGCGTGTTAGGTGCACTCGCAAAGTGCTCGGAAGCTAATCGAGGGCTTATGTAAGTATGGTGCGTTTACTTACCACTTCTGCTACATGCTAATGTTTCAGCACTTGGACTCGCTTGAATTCGAGGTTCTTTACGCCCACTTTGCTGTTCGCTCTTCCTTGGCCGTGCTCATGTGGAGTCGCTAAAGCACGGGTGCAGCACGCTCCCAGTACTGTATACGTACTTCGCTTCCGCACGTTCCTAGCGTCCTTGAGCTCCCCGAGCAAGAGCAGGTCTTCGACCGCGAGCTCGTCCGATGTCCGTACGGTTTTGTCATGATTGTATCGTCGTTCATGTTGCGTTCATGTATCGAAAGCCAATGTAGTCGACGAGATCAGCGTGTCATGGTCTATCCACAATCCAAGACCATCGGTTCACACGGATACACAAAGTGCTCACGAAGACACAAGATACTCATGTAAGACGCATTAGCCGGCATACTGTCTGCCTTTTCCTCGGAATGTCTATGACCAACTTGCCCTACTCCGGGATCAGTTTTACGAGGTAGGCCCAAACATTTCCAAGGTATCTGTATGGAATCCATCAAAGTCGAACCCACCATCTACCAGCCCTCTCAGGACCGACAAGTCATCCACGACGCTCTGCATACGAGTATAGCTGAACGCGCTTCGGAGGCCGGCTCTCAATCACAGACCACGAGAATGTGCGCAACCGGTTCCCCGCCGCCGCCCGCCGCGAGAGCGCATCCATGAGCGCGTCGCAGCACGCCGCCGGCATCCTAGCAGGTTCCTTCGCTCCTTTCGGCGCGCGCACCTCGTCCTGGCCGTGCACAGGCGGCATGTGCAGACTTGACGTCGAGCGCGCGTAGCTTCGGACAACACAGCGAATCGTCTTCCCGGCTCGTGGTGCTGAGGGCCTCCAGCGCGGCGACCGCCGCGAACGCGCGGGAGAACGCGCGAAGCAAGAGACCCCGGACCGCGGTGTGCGTGCGCAGGACGGACAATGGGCCGCGCAGGCTGCACAGGGAGACGTCTGAGACGGAGTCCTGGATGCAGTCAAATACGAGGACCCGTTCTTCTGCGTCGCTCCCTTCTACGCAGTCGAGGCTAAGGATATAGCGGTCCATCCATGGGATAAACGGGTCATGAGGAGCAGCCCTTCAACGCGCGGGAGCGCGCGCTGGGCGGCGTCGGACGCGACAATCTCTTCCCAGAATAGGTCGTCCGGGATCAGCCTGCATTGGAATTCGAGCGAGGGATGCGCGGGTACCGAAAGCAGCCCCAGGACCGCAGCGGTAAAAGCGGATCAAGGTCGATGGCGATGAAGTCGAGCTCGCGCAGGGCAGGCAGAATGGCCTTCATCGGCGACCACAGCGGTGGGGTGGCTTGTCCGAGGTCTTGCACAAAATCCCGCAAGGGGATCTCGACCTCGAAGGTGAGGACCTCAAGCGAGTAGCACGTTCGCAACGCAGTGACGAGCTGATCACCCGGGCTCAGCGGACCACGGCCTCGTGTGTTGTGACAGCTCGGGCTCCGGCGGGATGACGGTCCGCAGCTGGAAGATGGGCTCCCTTATCACCGCACGGATCAGAGTTGGACGAGCGAGGTGCAGGAAGAGGTCGAGAGGGACATATCGCAAGTCCCGGAGTGCGGGGAGCTTGCCGATACTCTCCACTGAAGGGCCCGCCGAAGAGGAGGTCCGGGGCGACGCCAGCGTGCCGCTTTGCTTCTTGGTGACCACCGCCAGCGTTTCGATACTTGCGTAGCTGTGTTTTAGCAGTGCGGACAACGATCGAAGATCACCAAGACCACGATCTGAACGTATAGCTCAACCAATCGACCTGCGTGAGGAGCGAGGGCGTGTACAATGGCCTCGGGGACTTGTTTGAGAGTTAGACGAGGGGATGGAACTTGATTGGGTGAGGGCAGTGGTCAGGTCTTGGATACAGCGAGACCGTTTCGCGTCCTTCAACTTGTCCCATCTATGAAGGTAGCCAAGGGACCATCCTCGGATTCGATGAGTGTGGCCCAGAGGCAGGGAGTATTGAGCACGATAGAGCGCCATGCGCGGCAGATTTGGCAGAGGGTCGTCAACGTCCGTTGGGATGTGATGTGGTAAATAAAACACTCGACGAGCATCTCCGTGGGAAGGATGCGGTTGATGGCTGTGGCGGCATTGTGTAAGAGAGGAGGGTGAGGACAACGAGACGGTATTCGTTGGCATGTTGGAGGGCGAACGATGTAAGTCGTTGGCTGACAGACCGACCAGTTGGAGCGGATGGACGTCGGTAAGTTGTGTGTAAGATCAGGATAGGGGAGAGCATCATCCTCGGAGGAAGGCATTGATAAATATTGGGTGCTAACGACAAGGTGGAGAGATTAGCGGATGACACCAAAGAGTTGAGAAGGTGGAGACACTTGCTGCAATAGTAAGAGGATATGAAAGCTCGAGCGATGCGGCATGCCCCTTGATCTCCTGAGTCGTCCGACTTGACCTCTGCATCGCCCACCCACGTGGCGCCGGCATGTGCAACTTCACGTGGACAATTGAACTCAAGTTGGGATCTTGAGGCTTGAATATTTGAATGGCGGTACTCGACTTTCCGCTACGCATGTTCCATCAGGTGGTAGCCGTGATTGCGATGGGCTGGAGCTTCGAGCCTTGATCACGACCAGCGGGCAAACAAGAAGGACGCGCGGTGAACCATCTGGCATGAATACTGTCGAATTGGTGGACGTGCCTCCGAGGCCTCCACAAAGATTACGCTCGCAAAAACAAGACGAGTACAACGTACGACTGACCACGACCCTCCCCATTGTCCTTTCACAATTCGGGCCGATCGATGAGCCCACAGTCCGCTCTGGCTACGAGCCAACGCATCCTCGCCGTTGCCATCGCGCAGCACATTCATGACTTCCAGATGAGGATGGCGAGAGAGCCGATGTAGAAGTAGATGAAGTGCTTCGTCTCTGCGCAAACGGTCAGCCCCCCCTCCACGGCGCAGAACACTGTGCAATGCACTCACCGTGCGTGACATAGGACCCAAAGTTCTTGCCGACGACGACGTGCCAGGTGGGCCCGTGCTGGCGGTCAAACTCCTTCTTGATCTGCGCCGCGATGTCCTTCTCAATGTTGTACTTCTCCAGCGCCGCGCTCGCGACGTCGACCGCCTCCTGCTGCATCTCCTCGCTCATGTCCACGTTCTTGATGATCGCCTTCGGCCCGTTCCCCCCGTCCTTCGCCATCGGGTCGCTCGACGTCGGCGCGTCCACTTTCTCGCCATCGCGTGTGCTAGTGGGGGAATACGGGGTCGTCAGGGGTTCGTGGGGCGTCCTGGCGAGCGCAAGGTAGTCAGACACGGCGAGAAGAGCCTTTTAAAGGCCGAGGGACGTACGGGGCAGACGGCGGGCGAGCGAGGTTTTGCGCGAGGTGGGGGAGGAGAGAAGAGGGAGCTTTAGCAACGCGTGCCTCAGGACGCGCGCCAGCCTCAACGCGTTGGCCGCACGCGGGCACCGTCCCGCACCTCCCGCACCCCCACATGCTCCCACTGGCCGCGGCCCCGTCCACACCCACGCCCGCATCGATGTCCGCGCTCTTCCCGCGAACCTTTGTCCGCACTTTGCCTCGATCGCGCCAATCACGATGTGCCTCAACCCTCCCTTCCCACTAGTATGCCGTCGACCTCACGCACAAGCTTGTCGCCAGGTTCGTCCCGACGATGCGGACGAACGGAAGCGCGATGCCCATCTTTTTTAAAATGTCAATCATTAATATCCCGCGTGCGGAGTACAGGTGCGCTTTCTACATGGGTGACCGGTCGACCCTTGGTTGGCGAGTGTTCTCAGCCTGTGGACCTGCATCTTAGGGCTGTTTGCACCTTCGGTTTGTGGGTGCTCGTGGCCTGTGCCGCTGGGCGGTCTTTCCACGCCGTGCTTGCGTTCATTTACCCACTTGCCTTCCCCGTTCTGCGCGTATACTGTAAAGCGCCCCGATTTTATCCGCGAACGTGAATGCGCCGTCGTTCTTCGTGATGAATGCATTAAGTCTTGCAAGTAGGCTTCGGAGGCGCTGCAGGGAGTCGAATTCGCCCCATAGTGCCACTAGCGCTCGTACCTCGCGCATTCAAACAGCATATGTATTAACTGCGGTGTGAGTGCAATGTGGCAAGTCGCCAGGTAGGAGGTACATAAGTTGAAGGAGACTTGGAGAGATGGTCGATACATGGTCCGACTTTTATGTAAGCCAGAGGGTCAGTGACGGCGCCTGGACCAAAGTAAACGCTCGGGCCGGGAATTTGCTTCCGCAGGCGTCTGTCGGGTGATCCCGCATCACATTATCTGATAAGATGGCGCACTACTTATATTGAGCCTCCTCCCCCGCCACTTTCACCATGCCACCACCTGTCCCTCGTCCTTCTCCTTGCCCGCCATGTCGCGCCGCGGCTACGTCCGCATTCCCCACGAGCCCTCCGACCCCGATCGCCGCGCGAGCCTCTCCCCCGTCGGTCCGTCCTTCTTCCCCCCAAGTCCTCGTCTGCTCATCCCACGCCCCGTCCAGATTCAAGCCCCTACGCCGCCGCGAACCGTCCCCGTATGCTGTCCGCGGTCGCTCCGTTGGTACCATCAACTCGGTCGCGACCATCTCCTCCAGGCTCAGTCTCGACATTGCCCGCGAGCTCCAGGCGGAGCAGGATGCCCATGCCGGTGTCCAGGCCGCAGAGGCCGCGGAACAGTCTTGGCCGGGCATTCTCAGTGGCTGCTGTACCTGGGTCCGTCTTCCGTTTTCCCACCCCTCATCCTCGCTTCAAGGCTTGGGCTGATGCGGGCCGGCTTCGCGTGCAGCATCGCGCTGGCGTCGTATGTATACTCGCTCGACAACCAGACGACGTCCAACTACCTCCCGTTCGCGACCTCCTTCTTCGGCGCACACAGCTTCATATCATCCATACAAGTCGCCCAATCTATCATCGGTGAGTCCTCTCTGCTTCCTGCGTGTCCCGGAGGCCAACGCCTGCGTAGTTGCATGCGGGAAGCCTGTCATAGCAAAGGTCGCCGACGTCACCTCCCGCGCGACTGCGTTCATTGTAGTTCGTGAGTATCCCCTTCGTTGTGATGTTTCCATGTATTCACTTCCACCCCTTAGTCCTGTTCTATGTCACCGGTGCGTCATTCCGGATTCTTTTTCAGGAGCAGGTCGTAAACTCTGCTCCAGGATATCTCGTTATTGCCACCGCATTCCATGTTGGCTTTGTTGCTCTGGGCATAATTTGCTACGCCATGTACGTCCTCCTCTCCCTCCGCATTCACACCGTGCCGACTCTTTCTTTCAGCGGATACACGTGTGTCCACTTCCCCACCGGTCACCCTCGTCACTGAATAGCGGCCCACAGCGGACTTCAATTGCTCACCTCTGTAATCATCGCAGACATCACCACTCTCAAATGGCGCGGGCTCGTCTCCGGGATGACCTCGATACCCTTCCTCTTTAACGCCATCATCGGCTCCAAGCTCGCCGACGCCGTTCTCAAGCCTGGGGGTGGCGCTGGGGGTGTGAGTCATCGCGATTCCGGTGCCGTGAGCTTCACGTTATCTGACATTCATGCACCCCAGACGCCATGTTCGCCATCCTCGTGCCCGCAGCGCTCCTGCCGCTCATCCTCACCCTGTTCTGGGGAGAGCGCAAGGCAAAGCAGCTCGGGCTGGTTGAGACCCCGCCCCCCGGCGAAGACATCGTTCATCACGTCAAGGCCGGCTGGGCACAACGCGCTTGGCTGCTTGCGGAGCAACTCGATCTCGTCGGGCTTCTCTTGCTCGCCACTGCGGTTGCGTGCATCTTGCTGCCGATGACGCTGGCGCGGAAAGGGAAAAGCTCCTGGGCAGATCGTACGTGTTCCCGTCTACCTCTCGCGCGTCCGCTCTCACACCGCGCACAGCGAGCATGGTTGCCATGTTCGTCTGTGGCTGGGTACTCCTTCCTGTCTTCGTACTGTGGGACCTGCGCTACGCGAAGCGTCCCGTCATCGCGATGCGCTTCCTTGCGAACCGGACGGTTGTGTGCGCAGCGTGGATCGGGTTCTTCGACTTCGTACGTAACAGACAGTGTTCTTCCTCGTTGCTGTGCTGACACTCGCCTGGTCCTGCAGCTGTCCTTCTTCCTCACCTTTACATACCTACAGTCCTTTGTCCTCGTTACCAAGCCGTGGTCGATGACGAACGTGTTCTACTTCGGGCAAGCGCAGACTGTCGGGTTGACCCTCTTCGGTATTGCCGCTGGGATTATCATGCGCTTCACGCACCGATATAAGGTCCGTCTACTTGTAATCTACTGTCCTCCCTCCGCTTACACTCTTGGTTCACAGCCCCTCCTGATCATCGGCCTCTGCATTCGCATCGCTGGTGTTGCCCTCATGATCCACGCCCGGTCTGACGTTGGCACCGACGCCTCGCTCGTCTGGACGCAGGTGCTGCAAGGCCTCGGCGGCGGCTTCGCCGCGGTCTGCTCCAGCGTCGGCGCACAGGCGTCCGTCCCGCACGCAGACGTGGCCATGGTCATCGCCCTCGTCCTCCTCTGGACCGAGATCGGCGGCGGCGTCGGTGGCTCTGTCGCAGGCGGTATCTGGGCCGCGGTCATGCCCGGGAAGCTCAAGGAGAAACTGCCGGAGTTGAGCGAGGCGGAGCGCGCGGCGCTGTTTGGGAGCATCACGGACGTGCGCAAGCGGCCGCTGAGCCATCCGGTGCGTGCGGGCGTCGTGGCAGGTGCGTGGCTCGTCGTTCTACTCTCCTGGGCACTGACGCGGGTTCCGGCGACAGCATACAGCGACACGATGGAGATCATGGTCGTCGTCGCGACGGTGCTGAGCGTGATTCCGCTCGCGCTGTCGTTCCTGATGCCTGACTGGTACCTCGGGGACGCGCAGAACGCGGTGGAGGAGCTCACGGTCTCGGCGGACGAAGAGCCCTATGAAGACGTGCTATAATGTTATGTACTGATGTAATGGATAATAATTTCTTTGGTTCAATCATCTATATCTCGAGTCGTGGTCAAGTTCGTCAGCCAATACGGGGTGCAAGCGCAGGAAGACATGGCGGTCCGCGGCCTGGCTCCGAAGTTATTCCACGACGGCCTTCTGGGAGAAGGGTACGACGGTCTGGTGATCGTGGTGATGGAGTATCTGAAGGGCAAGACGCTCTTCCAACCATACGGTGCGGCGCGTGCCATCCCTGCCGCGACTATATCCGCCGCGGCGACCGCGCTGGAGACTTTGAAGGGTCTGGGTTACGTGCACGGGGACGCCAGGCGGTGGAATATCATGTAGGTCGACGACAGGATCCATCTGATCGACTTTGACTGGGCGGGAAAGGCGAGTGAGGTACAATACCCTGCTCATGTTAGCCCGCACGTCTTGTTGGTGGTTGGGACGCAGGAGTTCGACGTGATTACGGAGGAACATCAGGATATGATGCTCGCTCTCATAACGCCGTAGTAACCTGTAGTCGAAGTTTGCGACAATGCGAGGCGCAGTATGCATCCAGTTCAACGCCTATCGCGGTCACGGCGTGGTAATAGTACCAGTGCTATAAGACCATTTGACTCCCGGAGAGTCCGTTCACGCGTATCCTCACGTGACCCAGCGTGTAGCCCCACGTGACCCAGCGTAAAGAAATGCCGTTGCAGCGGCTTTGCATCTCTTTCTTCACGACCACGACCTCTCTCGCCACCCTCCAGTACTGTCAGTGCCAGAGTCAGCCCGCGAGACGTCCTGTTTCGACGACGCTCTTCCAGCACACCGCCTGTGGTCGCTGGTCGACTACCGCAAGTTCGTCCTGTCCGCAACATCACTATGCTCTTCATTCTTTTCGCCCTCTCCGTCACCATTGCCCCCGCCGGCGCGTCCTCTCTCGCTGTCGCCTACCCGCTCGAGGACCAGCTCCCACCCATCGCGCGCATACACACTCCTTATTCCTGGTCCATGTCTCCAAACACATTCTTTACCGATCCCGACAGCCCTCTCACCTTCTCGTCCTCCATCCTCCCCTCCTGGCTCTCCTTCGACCCCGCCACCCTCTCTCTCTCTGGCACCCCCCAGGACGACGATGAAGGGCGACCGCGCGTCACAATCATCGCCTCCAATGGCGGCGCCGCCCATGCTTCGTCCTCGTTCGACCTCTGCGTCACCCCGTACCCTCCGCCGACGCTCCACATTCCTATCGAAAACCAATTCCACCGCGAAAATCCTTCTCTTTCCTCTGTATACCTCGTCTCCAACCGCTCCTCTCTCTATGGCTCTCGTCCAGCCCTCCGCATCCCGCCGAAGTGGTCCTTCAGCATTGGCCTCGACTACAACACATTCGACGCCAAGAACAACCTCTACTACGACGCCCGCCAGGCCGACGGCTCCCCGCTTCCGTCCTGGGTCAACTTCAACACACGCGCCTTGACATTCAACGGCGTCACTCCAGCGGCGGACAACACGACTATGCCCCACACGCTCTCGGTCGCCCTCCATGCCTCCGACGAAGAGGGCTACTCCGCCGTCTCTGCGCCTTTCGATATTGTCGTTGCAGATCACGACTTCTCGCTTGACGGCGAAACCAACTCCGACTCTCTGCCGACCATCAACGTCACTGCCGGTCAGCCATTCGAGCTCGCCCTCAACTCTGCTGTCGACTTCATCGGCGTCCAGCTCGACGGAAAGTCTGTCACCCCGGACAATATCACCGCGCTGGAGATCGACACTTCGGACTTGGAGAGCTGGCTCAGGTACGATTCTTCCACTCGCACTCTCAGCGGAGAACCCCCCTCGGACTTCAAAGATGCTGTCCTTCCCGTCCTCTTGGCGTCGTCCGTCAACCAGACCTTGTCTACCGTCGTCACTTTGGTTGCGGTCCCGTCCTTCTTCTCCAGCGGCGACCTAGATCCGATTCTTGTCACTCCCGGCGATGGCCTCACCTTCTACTTGGCACAGTATTTTTCGAACTCCTCTGACCTTGGTACTCCTGGCGACGTGCAGTTCGGTGCCTCCTTCGACCCTCCTGCGGCTGGCGACAACTTGCAGTTCAACGCTTCCTCCTTCCTTGCTGGGACGGTGCCGAAAGGCGTCTCGTTCGACCACATATCTGTGACTTTCACTGCTATTCCCGCATCACCCGGTCTACGTCGCACACACACCTTCCCATCTCCCTGTCATCGGCGGACTACACTCGCCAGCAGAACAAGCATGGCGCCAAGGGCCTCTCCGACGCTGCGCGGAAAAAGCTTCTTCTCGGCCTTGAGATCGCCTTTGCGCTCATCAGCGTCTTCGTCGGCCTCGCGATCGTCTTTGCATGCATCCGCAAGTGCGCGCGGGACCAAGACTCGGTGATCATGGGCGAGGAGGGACAGCGCGCGTGGACGGCGTCGGAGAAGAGGTGGTATGGGATTGGGATCGAGGTCAACGGCGAGAAGTGTACTCCGGAACTCGGCACAGAGCCCCGCCAGGAAGGGACTTTCGGGAGCGCGCTGTCGCGGATCCTAACGCGCACCGCGTCTAGCCGACCAAGATCTCCGTTGAGTCCTGTCGGTCTCACGACGAGTCCGCGGATGATCAAGAAGGTGGACTTCATGGGTCGCGCCCGGCGCATGGTCAGTGACCAGTACAAACGCGTCGTCAGCGGGCCGAAGCGACCTGTGATATCCAAGCCGGTCCTCATCCTGACCAGCGACGACAGCCCCGCGTCTAGACTTGGCAACATACCTACAACTGGCTCCGCGGGGTTGCTCGGGGTCGGGCTGGGCTCGCGCGATTTCAAGCCGCTGGACGACTCGAACTTCAGCCAGTATGCTCCAAGCGGGCCGACAAGCCTCGCGACTTCGTCACCCACGTCGTCGCACGACGCACCGTCTATCCCACGGCGTCGCCTGGACTTTGCCAGCCCGCGGCCGCCGATGGTGATCACGACGCCACCGGAAGCCCACCTCCCGGACGACGCGCAACCCGACTCAGCCGCGTCCTCACTGAAAACATCATCCACGCACGAAAGTGATGCTATCGTGCAACGCGCGACGCGCGCGACGTCCGTCCGCAGCGGAGCTTCGGGCATGTCCTTCCACGTTCTCGGCCGTGGACACCCGACACTCGAGAGCGCGCGCCCGCGGCTGGTGCCATTTACGAGCGCGACACGCGTCCCGGTGCCCAAGGTGCCGACGTCGTCGTTCTCTCCCGACATGGACATCGAGGAGGAGGAGACGCGCGTGGGGGCCAGCGCGGGCCCGACGCGGCGCGTGGCGAGCCAGGTCGCGCGTGTGTTCCGCGGGCAGCGCGGCAGCACAGCCGAGCTGCCTGCTCAGCCGAGCGCAGACGACCTCGCGACGGGAATGGAGTACGTGCGGGCGCTGGGCGACGATGGGCGGAGCTCCCTTGCGCCGTCCTCGCAGGGTGCGTGTCTCGCCTGATTTGCTTCCGCCTCACGCTGACCTCTGGCATCGTCACAGAACGCTCCCCTGCGCTTTCGGCGATGTCGTTCTCTTCGCTCGAATCGTCGGCGGCGTCTCACGGACGTATTGAGCGTGTCCTCGCGCGTACTGGCGAGCGCTTCAAGTTCCGCGTGCCCGTCGTCGCTGCGAGCCGGCGCGGGCTTGACGCGCGGCTGACGTCGGGGCTCGGGCTACCGGGATTCATTCACTTCGACGCGGATGCGGCTGGAGCGGAGGTGTGGGGCGTTCCTGCGGGCAGCGATCTGGGCGTGCATGAGGTCGGGGTGTACGAACGTGGCGGGGCCTGCGTCGGGCGTGTGGTCGTGGAGGTTGTTGAGCGCAAGGCGGCATAGACGACGCGGGAGTTGTACTCACCACTCACCTTAGAAGCTCTGATCGGAGTGTAATATTTCGTTTTGTATGTATGACCTAGATGTATGTTTGAACCCAATGCGACCACACATTTCTATCTTTTCCGCGGCGTGGGTGGCTATCCAAGTGGAACGTCGAACGTTGAAGTCGGAGTATTTGAAACTGCGTATGTCCGACGGAGCGCGTGCCCCGGGCCGCCGGTCTTAGCGTAGCGGCCACGACCACCGAGAACAACAAGTTAGCCTCCCGAACGTGAACGTCGTTCTTTCTACCTGTCAACGTCGAGCGTGAGTGTCTCTGTCTCTTTATGGCTTCAATTTTATCTTATGCTGATTTCCGTCATCTACTCAGCTGCCACGTCATTGCTCCCAATGAACGCTCCCGACATCAACGCCCCGCTCTTCGACCGTTTTTCCAAGGCAGTCCCGACTTCCGTTCGTGCCCAGCTCGCAGGACTTTCTGACCGCGAGATTCAGGCATGGGCCCTCAGGCAGGTAAAAGAGTACCGTCGTCTTGCCTTCGTCCACCTGTCTCTGCACAACGCTGCCGCTCACATCAACCGCATCCTCCCCGCCGAGATCATCGTTAAGATATTTGTGTACCATTTTGAATTCGACCTGAAACCGACGACAATCGCCCAAACCTGTTGTAGCTGGCGCACTATCGCTCTCGATGCAGCCCCTCAGCTGTGGGCTGCGTTTGCCCGGTCGGCCACCGGACCCTTCCGCGACCTCGACAAATGGAACGAACTCGAGGATGACAAGAAATCCCGCCGTCTCGCTACTATGGTGTCTGTCCTCAAATGGTCCAAGCGATTTCCATTCCGTCTCTCCTTCATTAGCCTCCCCACCCCTATCGGAGACGCCCTCGGTCCATACGCCGGCCACCTCGCCGAGCTCCGCGTCCAAATAACAAGCGCAGGGGACGTCCGCTCGCTCTCGTCGCTGCTGAAACGTGGATTATCAACCCTCGAAACGCTCTCGGTAGATATGGAGGAGCGCGGCAGTCTACTGTCATGGAATGGCGTCCTCTTTGAACCGTCCCTCCGCCACGCCCTCGGCAAACTCCCGGCACTCCGACACCTACCTCACGTCCCACTCGACCTCTTCCTCTACCTCTCCCGCCCGACGCTGATCAATGTGAAAATCATAGAACCCATACTTCTCATTCAAGCCGTCGTTTCACAAATCGCAAACGACCGGCGACTTCCGTCATACTACTCTCGGTTTAGCCCAGGTGCGAAGCTCGTCACCGCGCTGCAAAAGTGCGAAGCTCTCCAGACGCTCTCCTTCGAGTTCTCCATACCCCTGCGCCGCCTTTTCTGGGACTTGATCAACAGCACCCCCGCTGGAGCCGCTCTGTGGTTCACGAAGAGAGCCGTGCTGCCGTCGCTCCGCAAGCTGAAGATCTCAGTCAACGGCGATCTGACCTACGTGTCCGTGCTGCTCAAGCTTCTCACGCTCCCCCCGCGTGCCTCTTTCAGTCTCGTCCTCACTGGCGTCCTTCCCGACGACGCTTTCTGGGAAGAGATCGCCGCGGACGAATCTGCCTCGCAACTCTTCTCGTCCGTCGACTCCGTGCGCATCGCGACATTCCCGCCCTCCAACGGCCCCAACAACACGCACCCCACTCTCGTCGTCGCCTGCGAAGGCCCGCACGGCGTTTCCCCTTTCACCCTCGTCTGCACCACCACATTCCGCCCGAACGCTTCCCTCCGCCGCCTGCGCGGCCTTTTCTCCATCCTCCACGCCCACGCTGCCGTCCGCTCCCTCTCCTCTCCCTCTCCACGTGCCACGCCGTCTTCCCCGGCGAGGGCCACCCAGTGGCGCTCCTCTGCGTTCTACCACACCTCACCGCGCTCGCGCTCGTCGCGTGTCCCCACACCGCCGCCGCCGTCGCGTTCCACGCCCTCGGCACGCTGGACGCGGACGGCCGCCCGTGCTGCCCGGAGCTCTGCCGTCTCGACGTCAAGATCAAGGTCGACGTCGTCGCTCCAAACGCCGACGCCGACGTGCCGCAGAGAACAGAGCACGCCGCTGCCTCCGGTCAGCTTTTGGCCGAAGACGAAGAGGGCCGTCATGCTCCAGACGGTGGCGCGACGATGCCGGCGCCCTTGCACGCCGCGCTCGTGGACGCGCTGGCGCGACGGGCAGCGGCGACTGCCGGTCACCGCTTGCACGCGTTATCTTGGAGCGTTTTGAAGTGTTCGTCTTCGGAGGGCGTTTCACCGCACACTCCGGAAGCGTCGGTGTCAGACTTGTCGGACTTGAAGGCGTTGGTGGATGAGTTCGAGTTCAGTGGATTCGAGGAACAGGGTGCGCTGGGTTCGCAGTTCGTGAGATGACCCGATGGATTTGTAGTTGAATTTTGGGAGTAAAGCGCGCTGACTGGACATCCCATATACCAGCATTACGGGCAGTTTACCATGATACAGCACATATTCGCCATACTTTAAGCGCGGCGTATCCCAATGGTCTCGTTTGTAAAGTAATATAATGTAAGTAGCCTACATCGGCGCCGAATTGGTCCTCCCAAGCCCCAACTCCTCGTCCAGCGCATATGCACTAGTCGCGAACACCATGGTCATCGTCGACCCCGAGTCGCACGAGATGCTCCTCGATGGCGGGCACGCCCGCCTGACAAGCACTGCCTCTGCTGGATCACCGAGCGACGCCGTGCTCTTTGCGCACGTCTCGGACGTGACGAGAGGACTGACGGTGATGGCGGGCAGCGACGCGCACACGCGGTCGATGGGAGAGCGGCCGAGCGCAACGAACACGATGATGAGCATGGGGTATATCGCCTGCGCGCCGGGTCAGCTTACGGAGCGCAGATGGGGCATTGGAGTGGGGAAAGCATACTATTATGGGTACGAGGCATATTGTAACGAGGTCGTTCACGACCGTGAGGAAATCTTGTAACGAGGGGTCGTGGGAGGGTTCCCAGGGAAAGGGCCAGACGAATATTAGGCCGTCTGTGATGGCAATAATGAGCTGTGTGGAAGATGTATAAGTGAGGAAGGACGAATGAGCGGGGGACGCGTGGTGACGACGTACCCATAATGCGCTGTAAGCGATTCCGGACTCGACGATGAGAATTAGCGCCGCAAGTGCTCTCGAGCTCCTTGCTTTGCCGTACGTTGACTGAAGGAGGCGTCTATGCTCCCTGCGCTCATCGGCGATCAACATATGCGACTTAATAGTAGACAATGCGCCACTCACCAAGCCTTTACGGAGACCATGGTCGTCGACAACACATTCGTAGCAAGGGACAGAACGACGGAGACGAACCCAATCTTGTCGCTCCCGACGACCAAGACCCCCGGCGCGGACGATGGTTGCAGCTTCAGATCCGTCAGAGAGACAATGGCGCTCACTGCGGATCGGGGGAGAGAACGTTAGCCCCTGGCGACATCTCCAATATCACATATGAAACCACGCACCGAACGTCGCCGCACACAGCACCCCTCCGACCGCGCGGAGAAGTCGGCTGTTCGGCCACACCGCGAGCGCGCGCCACCACACGATCACGTCCCCCACGAACATCTAACGCGGGCGTCCACACGTCAGACACAATGTTGGGCGTCCATGAGGTGGACCAAACTCACGTTCACCGCGAGCGTCGCCGTCGCGCCCGAAGGAAGCAACCCGAAAGCGGTTGCGGGGTATCCGACGGATGCGGAGTAGCTGTCATCGTGCAGCGCGCGTGCCGCCGCAGCGAGCGTCCGAGTTGCGCTAATGAGGCTTGAGAAGGTCAGGCCGACGAAGGTTGTGGTGGACGCGTAAAGGAGGAGGATGGCGAGCAGTTGTATCTGGATGGAGTGGAGGCGGAAGTCGCGCCGGCTGTGGGTCGTGGGTGACACACGAGGCACGGTCGGTCAGAAAAGGCGCAGCGTCAGGATGTCGTACGAGCCCACGCACAGGAGGAGACAGGCAGAGGTTCCGGCGAGCATCGAGACTATGCCTGCATGGGGAGGGGGGTTGGCGTATGACCATAGGGAAAGGGTTGGGCAGAAGTGGGGAAGACGGACCGAATAGACAGGCTGCTAGCGCACTGGAGAGCAGCGCCATAGAGGCCGAACCCTGCGCATAAGTTTGCAGCGCGGCGAGCGCGTCCGCGTTCACCGTTACATTGGACATGTGCCGGAGTGCGGAGAAGAGGGTACGGGGGGAGGAAGGGAATGGGGAACGAGGTGGAGGGGAGATATAAGAATTCGGTGCCCAGCGAGGTCGATGAAATGCGCCGGGGAGCGTGGTCGGCTGGATGACCGGCCTTCTCCTCCCGAAATGCATGGAAGCAATTGAAGACAGCCGCGCTTGGACGGTGCGCTCAAATGAGCGCGCAGCGGGTGTCGTTGGCGTCTGCCGCCAGAGCGTGGATCCGAACGCTGTTCCCTTGGCATGTCTTCTCGCGAGAAACCAATCGCGCTGCGGTGCTGTTGTGTGAAAAAACTCGAGATGAAGTTAGGAGAGGTGGGTGCCGTTCCAAGTACAGATAACGTACTCGGAGACTACGATGCTGGGCACCGTTGAAGGTTTCTCGTTATAGGCAAACATGGCGCAGAGACAGAGAAGAGGCGATAATCGATCAAGGGTGCTGGAACACGAAAGCTGTAGATAGGCTTCTCGATACGGCTGGAGAGCAGTGGACGAGGAGGAGGATGAGGAGGATGAGGAGGAGGAGGAAGAAGTTGTGTGCCGGCCGGGCTGCCGTTCCGCAGTCGGGCGCCCGCGACCCGAGGGCGGCTCGATTCCGACTCCGACGGACTCCGACGCTGATCCATCCGACGCTTGCTCGAGAGTCGAGAGTAGAGTCTCGCGGCCTCTCGCCCATCTGAGCCTTTGCTGCCCAATGCTGTCTCGTACTATCTTCTTCAGCTTGCAGTGCCCACTCCTCATTCCACCACATCACTCAACTTCTCTTCCAGTCTCCTTCATCTTCACACCTATTAGCCTTAGCCACTACATAACGGAGCGCACCGAATCTCGTTCGCCCCGTCGGCAATCTGAAGCCTCAATGGGTTGGACGGATACACACGCTGGAGCTCATAAAAGCCGTCTGAGGTATGTCTCACTCAATTCCCGAGCTTTCTCGCGTCCGACCCATTCGACTTCCCAGACTGTCAGCCTTCTTTCCGCCGCGAGAGCCCTTCCATTTCACGTGCCGCGAAAGGCTCTCTGAAAGCAGATACCAACCACTTTAAGAGTGATATTGAGAGGTACTCGCCCGGCTCAAAACCTTCAAGGACGCGACGAAACCGCCAATGCGCGACCGTTGTTCCCCTTCGCGCGCCTACATCGCAACGTCGGAAGGTATAGCCTTTCGAGGCTCTTTTTATACACAACCTCGGCCCGGAAACGTGCCCAAGATTGACGTTGGTGGTATACGGTGCTGGGGAGATGCTGGTGAGTATTTTTCTATTCCGTGTTCTTCAGCCCATGGAGTCGCACCCACCACGAATACTTGCATATCCCGGCCTGGCGTTTCCCGACCACGCATTCAACATGCCGAGGTACGTCTCATCTCCCCGTCCCGAAAGGCTTCTGCGTAGGCCGTTCTTTGAAGATGTTCATGTGGCTGAAGCGGGTTCCTGAGCATGTCAAGAATGATTCATCGTCCTCGTCTGCGTGGAATGCCCGGGTGGGAGTATTGCCAGAATGCGACGGACGAGAACCACCAGGTAAAGCTCGTGAAGGGGACCAGGTGTTCTTCCAGGTGCGCCTAATTTGGTGTTTTGTCGCGTGCCGCTTCCAACAATCTATCGAAGGTCGCGCTCGTCTACTACGTCAACCATGTCAAGATACTTCATATGATAGACCTCAGCAAGTTGCAGCAGCGATATTCTTGAAACCGTCTCACGAATTTCGCCTCCGAGCAATGTCCAGCGAAGTAGGTGGATGTCTTGGCACAGAGCATCCCGACTCGGACATCACTGACTGTACGGCATGCTTCAGAGCTTCATCCCCGGCCTCCCCTACCGCGCTCCACAAGGGCTACCGTCCTGGAGGGACAAGCTGGACACCAACCTGCAGACGTGCCAGCGTATGCATAGCCTGCTCACTAACTAGAACCAGACATCGATTGTCCACCATCCCAGGGCCACGCTCAAGCGCTAGAGGTCCACGCGTGCTTCGCTGCCGCGTGTTCTTCGCACTCGGAAGCGCGAACATGCGAGCCGTCGGACCGTCGTGTGGATGGGCTCCTCGAAAAGGCGCTGAAACTGGCCGGTAAGTGTTCTCTTCGGGGCCCGAAGCTCGACGCTGATGTGTAATTGGATGGGCTGTGCAGGTGGTGAGGACGCTGGCCGATTTGACGTTGGGAAAGTATACGCGAGTTTCTTGGGATGTGTCGTTTACGTACGGTTGTTTCCTTTCGGGCTCTCCTACCTACTCACTCAATGAAACATGTGCTGAACATCGTCGAGGCCGAGGTCGGGATCATTGGCAAGGCTTCTGGAGTATCGTCCGCCCTTCACGCATCTTCAATCATCATGCATCACCCGGGATCTTCTTACAGAACACGTTGATATGTGGATTTAGAGTTCTGTCACTGCAACGTTCCCAGGACACGAGCCATGCTTGCGAGGTCGGAGCTGCCTCTCGGACACAACTTACCCTCCTCCCAGATGCCCTTCTCTCACCACGCCGATCGCAGGGAGATACTCGATGACACGCTCGAAGGCGCTAAAACTGTCCTGAAGATAGGCTTGACGGCGCTAACGTTTGTCCCGGTCCCCTACTTGACCGAGGCCGCAGAAGCTCTCATAGGCGTCATTGAGAAGGTAGAGGTGAGCGGACGACTCTCACGCTCTAGAATCGTCGCTGAGTACGCCACTTGTGCTCTCTGAAGGGCACGAGGTCAACGCAGACGGAGCTCAAAGATCTAGCGAAGGAAATCGGGGAGCTCGCCCGGTTGCTGACTGATGGCGTCTTCAGACTCAAGGACACCGCGGCGAGCGATGAACAGGCCAAGGAGCTCATAAAACGGGGCAGCGGGCTGCAACACTACCGAACCGAACTCGGAAGGTTCGTCATGTGAGTCGTTTGACTGCTGTCGTACTGCGACTCCGTGCTCATTATGTCCCAGGGAGCTGCGAAAAATTGCGAAGTTGGCCCAGAGACTTCACAAGCAGTCCTTCGCGTCGCGGCTTCTTTTCTCTGAGAGGAACGCCAAGACGTTTCAAGACCTCAAGGCCAAAGTCAATGCCGTCATAACGCGGGTCCATGTGCGTGTGTCCCATGTAGCGCTGTCAGCTCCGCTCAATGTTCGGGCAGACACTGAACCTTATGAAACTCGCGCAAGATGCGGCTATAACGAGTGAAATGATGCGGAGAACGGATGAACTGATGCGAAGAACGGGTGAGGACATACTGCACTGTCCTATACCGAATCGCAGCTTACGAGTCTCACTGCCACAGCGGCAGAAAACGCACTGGAACGACTGCCACGGGCCGACGCTGGTTACAAGGCGGCGGGAAATCACATGAAAAGCAAGTTCCTGGAGGGTACGCGTGAAGACCTGTTCACAAGTCTCATCGCCTGGGCTCGAGGGGACGACGCAAACACTGCCGAGAAGAGCGTCTGCATCCTCTCAGGAGCGGCTGGCTCCGGAAAGTCAACAATCGCGGTGGAACTCGCCAGACGGCTCGACAGCGGCGATCTTGGCGCGTCCTTCTTCTTCGCCACTGGTGATGCCGAGCGCTCCTCTACTCGTCTCTTCTTCCCGACAATCGCCTACCAGGTGGCGAAGTCCCAGCCAAATATATGTCGTTTCATCGTCAAGGCGGTGTCTAAACACCTCGAAGGCGGTCAGCACCAACAGCTCCAGTACGAAGCTACAAATCTCCTCAAGAATCCCCTCTCGTCCGTGGAACGTCATCACCCTACAGTCATCCTTGTCGTCGACGCGCTCGATGAATGCGCCGAACCTATTGACCACAAGCAGTTTGGCGTTATGATGAACCTGCTGGTGTCGTGCGCTGCGGAAGCCCCCTTCCCCGTCAAAATACTCTTCACATCACGTCCGAAGGATATAGTGGAAGACACGATCACTACCAGTGTCGGATCGTCGGCGAAGATCCACAACCTCGATCTCAACGACCGGTCTCGCGAGTCTATGGACCGAGACGTGAAGATCCTCATTCGACATGAACTCAAGACCGCGTACCCCGGCCGAGACCTTCTCGAAGGTCGCGACGAGCTCGTCGATCGCCTCGTCGAGGGCTCCGAGGGCTCGATGCTCTACGGTGCCACCGCCTCGGGCTTCCTCACTCAAAAACCAGACTACATCGATGAACGCGCCCGCCATATTCTCTCCAGCCCAGAGCGTGCTCGATACCTCGGACCGCTCTACGACCTGTACCTCAAGGTCCTAGAGAAGGAGTACCCTGAAGAGGATCTGAAGGAGGATCCGACGACGTGGCGGCACCTTAAGAGAGTTCTAGGAGCCCTGGCCCTCCTACGGGATCGCTTGTCGCCCGTCGATCTCGAGCCGCTGCTCGACATTCGCGTGAAGGACTCTACCTCCGTTCTCAGCAATCTTCGCTCCGTTATCCTGTACAAGCGCGGTGACGTCAACGAACCTTTTCGTCCCATCCACTCCTCATTCGTCCACTTCCTCCTCGAGAACAACTTCAAGGAATACGTTTTTCGAGGGCACGACAAGATCCGGTACTACCACATAAATTCGACACGCGAACACACTCGCATCGCTGCGGGATGTCTCCGAATCCTCGGATCAAGCGACCTCCGGCGCAACCCTCTCAACGTGGATTCTGGAACGAGACGGTCGAACGTCGCGGACGTCAACAAGCGAGTGGAAGAGGAGATTCCGAGACACGTGCGCTATGCGTGTTTACACTGGGTAGACCACTTGGAGCAGAGCGAATGGTACCCAGAAGTGGTCAAGGCGTCCATGCGGCTCACAGAGCGAACACTATATACATGGGTGGAGACGATGGCGTGGATGCGGCGTCTGGATGCGGCTCTGTCGGAGTTGGAAGGGGTCAGTCGGTGGAAGGTGCGTCTCTGTCACGGCGCAGTGCATATCAGCAATGCATGTTCATTTCCGTCTGAAACCGCTCTATGGCATCTCCGCGCTAGACGGTCGATCTGCCTCTGCCCGAGCTGGATCGCATTTACGCCTGGCTGAAAGATAAATTTGACATCGTCAAAGATCGCCCTGAGGAGATCTACAACGGTGTAGGCCGCGTCAACTGGTCCAGGAGCGTGACGACGAAGAGACACGACGACACTATTGACCGCCGGAACACTGATTCTAGGGCTATGTCGCGCGCGCGATCCAGGTGGGTCGGTGGAGCGACACGGGGTCGGAAGACTGGTAGAGTTCGCTAACAAATAACTTTGCGACATTGTAACAAACAAATCACAAAGTTGTAGACAGAGTTTGTAACATGCTACGTGTAACAAATATATGCAAGCCGTTCGTGAAAGTTTTCGATAATCGCACACGATGCGAGAGGACGAGGGCGACAAATAGACTGCGTTGCTCGCTACCGTGTGACGAAGCCATATACTATTACTCTAGATAGGAACCTCCGATGGACTGGTGATCTAGTCATGGGCATGACAATAATACAATGTGAGCTATACGGTAATAGAGATGATGACTAAAATGAGCACTCCGAACGAGGCGAAGGATAGGGAAACGTACAGTAAGGGGTGACAAACAAGGTAGAACGGGACGAAATGTTTGGCGTCACCGTCACTGACGGAGACACGCATACCTCTTAGCGATGTGGCACAGTGGACTGAAGGGGGAGGGTTGTGTGAGAAGGGGAATGAGACAGCAAGCAACATAAACAGCTATTTGCGTCCGCGACAACTCCAAGCAAATGAGGAGCGGCAAGTCAGAGACGCCGGCAGGATCGCGCGCTCTCCCATGGAACTCCCAACGTCCGACGTGGTGCACGAAGACAGAGTTCTTCATGAGAATAAACACGACAACGTACCGGAGTCCACTTAACAACGAAGAACAGAGTCTAAATAACTTATGAATCTGCACACAGGGTAACGTGTCAGCATGCTCAGACAAAGCAGGAGATGTATGTCACATACCCAACGGGATCCCACATTCGTACACGGCACTGGGGCGCACTTTGACGGCGTCCCGATGCTCGCCCACCCACTTCCGCACCGCATCCAGCAACCGGCAAATCTTCCCGATCTCCTGCACCACGCGCGCGTCAGCCCCACGATCGCGCCCACCCGCACTGAGAACGAGAAACGCACCTGCCACGCCGATGCCTTCGCCAGCGCCCCATCGACCACGTCCAACCTCTTCATCTCCGCGACGGCCTCGACCCACGTCAGCAGCGCGTCCCGCGCGAAGTTCGCGACGAGCGCGAACACCTCGCCCTTCCGGTCCGACTGCGTGAGGTGGGCCGCCCAGTGCACGCACGCATACCGCGCGTGGGGAGGGACGGGGGCCGATCCCCGAGGGAGAGCGAGGAGCGCGCGGAGGCAGGCGGCGGCGAGGCGCGCGTGCTCGCGGCGCGTGCGGACGAGGTACGGGCCCTTGTCGTACTGTGCGTGGACGTCGACGCGGAAGCGGGTGAAGAACGCGTGCAACGCACGGGCGGGCGCGTCGAGGTCGTTGGGGTCGTAGTCGACGACGGCGCTGAGGCGGAGCAGGACAGAGGCTGGGTTCTTGATCGTCGGCCCGAGGAGGGTTTTGAGGGTGTTGGGGGAGAGGGGGTCGTGGAGGAGCGCCAGGCCGCCGAGCACGGCCTGCATGTCTTCGCAGGTCTGCGTGTCCGCGTGGAGGACGTCCCGCGGGTAGACGGCCTCGAGGATCTTGAGGTAGAGGTCGTTAAGCGGGCCGAGCGCTCCACTTGGTTCTGAGATAGAGAGAATGTACTCCGCACGGCCGTTGACGTCGGTGGTGTCTTCTACCAGGAAGCGCGCTGCCACATCGGCACACAGGAAGTTCCTGTCCGCCCACCTAGCCAAGCGGTCGAGAAGGGCTCGGAGACGACGTTGGAAAGGCGATGTCTAAGAAGAAGCTTGAGATCGCGATCCACCGACTCAAGAGGTTGCTGGTTGAGGTCCACGATATGAACGTATCCACAAGTTGACGTTGGCGATGACGGTCGTGTCGACAACGTCACCAGGACTAGAAGTGAAGAAAATCTTGAGCGGGAACGGTGCTTGTCGAACGCTGGAGATAAGTGATTCGATCATCTTCGAAGGGCCGGTGTTGTGTGTGTCGAACATTCGTCCAGACCGTCGATGACGAGGAAGACTGGATCGTCATCTCGCGCCTCAGCCAGGAGAAGCGTATCCCGAAAGAGTATCTCTCCTGTATCTTAGGAAGCAGGTCGTCCATGTCGTGGATGAGGTCTCGGACGGCTTTCGCGAAGACGTCATGGAGGTCGCCTTGCGAGTGCGCCAGTTGGTAGGCGATAGTACGGAAGAAGAGTCGAGTGGAGGACGTGTCGGCGATGCCACGTGCAAAGAAAAACGAGGCCCCGAGTCGACGGCCGAGGCGTCGTGCGAACTCCGCCGCGATGGTTGACTTGCCTAGACCAGGAGCACCGGTGAGAACGCATATAGTCCGCGTGGAGACGTCTTCTTCTTGGCCGGCGGCCCATCGGGAGAGTTCTGCGACCACGTCTTGGCGCGTTCCGGGGAGAAGCCTTTTTTGTGGGTCCGCGAGGTGACGGTCATATCCCGCAAGAGCGTGTGGCAGTCTCTCCAACACATCGTCGTATCCTGGGTGGCGTGTGATATAAGCGAAGACGTGATGCTGAAATCTAGTGAAAGCTTACGCTTTGCGGACTCTCGTTTGGGGTGGGCACAGGTTCTGGCTCTGTGGCCGCTTCCACAAGGCGTTCGGTCTCTGGAATGACTTCTAACGCCGGTGATGACTCGGGCTCGAATTCTGACGCAGCCTCCACCGCAAAAGGCCCGGGATCAGGCTCTGGAGCAGGTCCAACGACCGCGGGGTCCGACGCAGGGGTCTCTTCGACGACAGGTTCTGGCTGCGGGGCGGGAATTTCCTCGACGATGGGCTCCGGCTCCGGGGCGACCTCGAAAATGGGCTCAGGGACGGCCTCGACAACTGGCGCCGGCTCCGCCGCGGCCGTCGCAGCCATCTGGACGCATGGCTCAGGTTCAGGAGTGGCTTCGACAATGGGCCGGGCTCGGAAGCAGCCTCTCGGACCACGGCCTCCGGCGTAGGGGCAGGGGCAGGGGCAGGAGCCTCTTCGCCGAGCGGGGCTTCGGGCTTAGCGAGAACAGGAGCCTCCTCTACGACACCGGGTTCCGGCGAGGGGACAGGCTCCTCGCCTGAGGAGGCCAAGCCTGAGGTCGCGGCGCCTGCGCTTCCGAGGTTGGTGTACCCGAACTCTAGGTCTTTGCGGCTGTCGAGCCCTAGACCGCCCCTGGACCGGAGCCGGAGCCAGAAGAGCTTGTGCCTGTGCCTGTCGTCGAAGAAGTAGCAGATCCCGCCATAGAGGAGGAGGGGGAGGCAGCGGAACCCGTGTTCGAGGTACCCGTTGCGTTTCCTGACGGTCTTTTCAACAACAGCCTCGTCTATGTCCAGGTAGTGGTTCTACAGGAACACAATAATGAGATTCAAACACGGGTGGAGCGTACGTACGCCGAAATATGTGCCGGGGGTCTCTAGATATGACTCACCTGGGTCTCTTGTACGGTTTCTTGACGACATTCCTACTCCCCGGCGCCCACCGATAGATGGCTTCAGGATCGTCCTTCACCGTTTCAGGTGTTCACAAGCCACGCCGCACGCTCTCCATCACCTTCCGTCCAGGACAGATATTCTGTAGAGAGAGCCGCCATCAGCCTCCGACAGCGAAAAAAACCCAAAGACGCACCTGACACGCAATAACCCTGTTCAGAGACACCATCACCGCGTCCATCCGGCCCATCCACGCCATCGTTCCACCCACCGCAACACCGCCGCTCGCAACTTCTCCAGCGCCGCGTACGTCCTTCGAGTTCTCGTCCGACTGCGCGAGGTGGCCCGCCCAGTGCAGACACCGTACCGCACGTGTTTCGGACCTCGACCCCACCGCGTCTCCATGTCTGGACGCCCAACCGCCCGTCCCAGACGCTACACGAGTGGGTTCTGGCGCAGGGAAGACACGAGGGTGTTGAGGCACCCCATGGCGATGCGTCCGTGCTCGCGCACCGCGCTCACGAGGTACGGGCCCTTGTTGTACTTTGGGTGGACGTCGACGAGGAACTGGGAGAAGGTGATGTGGATGGGGCGGAACACCGCGTCGAGGTCGCTGCGGTCGAAGAAAACGACAGAGCGAAGGTGGCGGAGGACGGACACGGAAGTCTCCGTGGGCGTAGACAGCAGCTTATAGAGGTCGTTCGGCGAGAAGCGGTCTCTCAGGAGCGCGATGGTCCCGAGCATCGTCTGCACGCGATCCCGCAGCGGCTTCTCATTCTCCAGGTTGTCCCTTGGGAACACGATCTCGAGCACCTTCAGGTAGAGGTCGTTGAGAGGCCCAAGGACTACACATCGCTCGGGGTCGGAGAGGAGATACTCTGCGCGTTCGTCCACGTCCTCGGGGTATTCAGCAAGAAACTTGACGGCCGTGTCTGCGTAGATCATCAGCCCTTCCGAGCGCTCCGCCAGACGATCGACGAGGTCGCCGCGGTTCCTCAGCGTATCGTAGCCTGGAACGTTGTTCGCCAGCCGGTCTCTGAGGAGCAGCTTGACGTCCTCAAGCACGGAGTTATTGATATCGAGGGAGTAGATCTTGTCCTGCGGGGAGTCTATACTGGCATGTATGGCCTTATCGACGGCATCCAAGGGACGGCCCGTGAACAAAATCTTCACCGGGAAGCGTGCTTTCTGCGCACAGTCGACGAGGTGCTTGACCAAGGAGCCAGGGAGATCGCGGTCCACGGGTTCGATGCATTCGTCGAGGGCGTCGACGACGAAGACGATGGGGCGATGCGAGGGGTCGACGAGTAACAACGGCGTGGTCAAGAGGGCCTCCGCTTCGTATTGCATCTGTTGACTGCGGCCGTGTGCGAGATGCGTATGGATGGCGTCGACGATGAAGGTTTCAATGTCGGCCTGAGAGCGTGCGACCTGGTAAGCGACGGTGGGGAAGAAAAGGCGGGTGTTGGAGCAGTCCGCGACGTCGCGAGCGAAGAAGAATGATGCCGCGAGTCCATGGTCATCATCTTGGCATTTGGCGAACTCGCGGCGATGGTAGACTTTCCTGCGCCAGCAATGCCAGAAAGGTGACAGATGAACCGGCCCTCGACGTCCGCACCTTCGCCACGAACCCACTGGGAGAGTTGCTTGAACAGCTCTTGCCGAGTGCCTGGAAGGAACTTGCTTTTGGCGTTGTTGGTTGACGCACGATATCCAGCATCGGCGCGCGGTAGTTCTCGAATGCGTCGTCGCATCCTGTTCACCAACATGTCAATAAGCAACATATAATGAGCGGCCTGAATGACTGTATGCACTCACTTTGCTGCCTCATCCCCTCAATAAGCTGATCCATCGCCTGCGTGATTGCAACGAGACAGTCGGCCTGTTTGCGCGCAGTGAGCGACGACGCTGAGAGAGGGAGAAAGCGTGCTTACATTGAAAAGCCCGATGATATGAGCACTTTTGCTTGCATGTCCGCTAGCGTCTTCGCATCGCGCATGCTATAGAACCATCGGAAAAAACATGGGCCTTTGTACAGGCTTTCCGCTTTGATTTGCAACTCTTTCACCTCACTATAGGGAGTTGAGGAAGCTTGAACCGCATACAGAAAGGCTGTACGCACTTTAGGAATCTCATCGTCCCCTCCCCACGGAATTGCCTAGATTCTGAAGCCGTTCCAGTCTGCCCACGTTGACACGCTCCCGAATATGCTCATACGCGCTGTGAAGTATGCCAGCGAGGACATCCAGGTCTTTCGCCAGGTCTTGAAGCCCTTTCTTGTTCGACCTCACTTCCTGCGGGACATATAGCAAAGGCGTGGTGCAACGAAGGACGGTGGGGATGAGCATACGAGACAAGGCGGCGTACCTCGACTTTGTCCACAACTTTGATCAGAATCTTCACCATCAGTGAGGACCGGAATCGGGACCGCCCGAGAGCCTCCAGGGTCTCTTAGCGGCAGAAGGCGTCGGAGATTGTTCTCCTGTTCTAGCACCACATGAGCGGCACTAGCAGCGAAGGAGCAAAAACATGAGTTGAGGTGAAGTGGGAGAAGGGGGATGTGCGCACTTCCCGCCCGCGATCGTCGACGATTATCAGGGCTTGCCACGTTGGTGGACTAAAGACGCACGCCGCTCGCGTGCTCGCGACGCGCGAGTATCGCGGAGGAAGGAGGTAGGAGATGAGGGCGATCACGTCCGGCCACCCGCTCGACGGCGCTGCGTTCCAAGCGGAAGCACGGCGTCCGCACATGGTGCGCGTTGTCGGGCGCGCACTGAGCGGACATATCAAACCCACGAGGGTGACGGTAAAGCATGGAAGGCAGTCGACGGCGCCATCGCACCCCAAGGTGCCGTCGTTCCACCGCGGCGGTACTGCAGATGATCCACCGCTGATGACCTTCATATGACAGCAGGCTAAAAACGTGTGTTAGAAGTGGGCCACGGGAGCGGCTCCGCGCGGCACGAGCACGAACGACCGCAGGTGAGACCTACCACAAAGTTTACTTCGAAATTACTTTGCTTGACTGCTATCCAGCGTGAGGTTCAGAACCTATGCAAATGTGACGCGGAGAACCGGAACTTGTGCGTGATGGCATTCCCCTGTCGCATGTCTACGCTTCATAATAGTCTTGAGAAGGGGTTCAATAGAAGGAAACTTACGCGATTGACCGGTCTACCAGGCACGAATTCGGTCACGATGCGCGTCCCGCGTCTGAACCTGATTCTGGGGGGGTTCGGCGACGGACGGGAATCTGTATGCAATCACATTTATCGTAAGTATTCGTGTCTAGGAGCATGAGATCACTCACAGTAACTGTCTGACATGCCCGCGTCTCTGGAGGAGGCAGCGCTGGGGGGCGCCGAACAAAGTTCGTGATCTCCAGATTTCAATAAACATCAGTGACATAGAAAATGGCGAAGATATACACTGTGGATAATGTCGAGATGTGCAGAGCACGCCACCACCCGCCGCACCCCTCAAAGATCCTCTGTACAACCCTTTGAAACGCGTGATAGCGTCGTGACCGCGAGATTTCGAGTGTAAATGGATCCATCGCTCCCCAGCTTTCTCGTGAGCTCCCATTCACGAAATTCGAAGTACAAGACACGTGGCATTTGTGGTGTTTCCAAAGCACTCACTCGTAGACACGAGAAGCACCACGCGTTTGCGTACCCCTCTGGCCTAGGATCATGTTTCTGAAAGCTACTGAACTCGCGGGGACATTGGCGCTGTATGGATCTCACTTGCGCCACCGCAGGAGCCACGTAGAAGCGCGCGAGAGTCGCTGGGGCCACTAGATGGAAGATAGATGGCGGGAGCCCAGTTAGGAAGAGATGTGAGCGAACGAGGCGCATAGAAGCACGAAATTTGACAATTCCGGAGCTCTTCTTCCAACGTAGCCGATGAGGTCCTCAAGGCAGCGAGGTATCCCTCTTTCTCTGATATCATGGTGATGATGTGGCCGAAGAAACACGTTGCATAAACGCCAGAAAACGCAGAGGGGAGCCTGGAACTTACGCGACGGTGTCTCTGTGGACATTCGAGAGTTCGTGACGCGCGATAGCAAGATTTTGCTTCGGGATCTCCACGACAAACCTAAAGCCACGCTGATGCGGCATTTGTGCGTGCGAGTGTGCATGGACGACTTGAGATACTCACCAGATGCGTCCCGTCCATGCAACCTCTCCGCCAGGCTCTTGCAGGCCATGAGGAAACAGGCGTGAGGCATCGCCTGCCTCTACTCGCACTGCCAGACCTCCATTCGTTATAGAAGTAGATCCTGGCGCAGGAGAAAACGTTTTCGCAATTTCGGAACCACCGCGGCATAGGTAGATGAGCAATGGATCGATTGAGGAGAGTGTAATGACGAGAGGATATGGAGAGATTGAACAAGCCGTCTACGACTTGCGCATGCGCCTATCTGCGAGATTAGATGCCGATAGCGCGGCGCAGGTGAGGACGGGCGCTCCTTGCGGCGCCTTCCACATGAATTCATTTTGCATTCATCACCTTGCTTGACGATGCTTTCGCGTTTCGGGCCCGCCTTCATAGTAGCACTACGCGGGTCAGATCCCGTAGCACCACAAGCAGCGATCCGCCTGCTACCGTGCGCTGGCCCTCCGCGCACGCCTTGCTTGCTCTACGTTCCGATCTGGACTCGCGTTCGGGGGCCACATCTGTGAGTGTTTCGTCGTCCTCAACGCATACGCGTGAAGTGCGCACGACATACTTGCAGCTGACTCCACTTCGGCCTCACAGCCGCCAGATCTGGCCGTCGAAGACCGTGACCTCTCGTCAGTTTGGCCCCATCTATACGTTCACGGACAGCCTAGTCACATGATAGCAGAATCCGGGCATGTGAGCACTACTACATGCTCCTACGCTCTCTCTCTCTCTCTCTCTCTCTCTCCCCGACAGCCGTACTTGTAACAAGCGCGGTTATCGGAATCATCGCGTCGTGTGGTGCGGGTACCATTGCCTGGAAAAGAGCCTCCCCCTCCTAAAACAACCTTCTTTCCGCGCCGCTGGGAAGCCCCGGCCGTGTGAAGGGCAACTAGGTGCGGTCAATTGCGACGCGAGACACTGCCTACATAGGCTTACATAGGGCTAAACCGCTGTAGTGACTACACGTAGTGGGAGTGCGCTCATCTCGACGCTCTCACTCGCTCAAGGGCTCTGGGCGCGCAAGATTGCGGACGCCGCGCAAAACCTTGGCTGCTGCTCCGCTGCAAAGCGACCTTTACGTATACTGCAGCTCGGATGCACTGCGGAGGGCGTTCTCCTGCCAATGATAGATTCGCCGCGGGGGCGGAGGAGGAAAGAGCCCGCGCAGGGCGAAGATCGGCACGCGAGAGCTCGTCATGGCTCGCGCGGATCTTTGACTTGTCGACTTTCGCTGAGCGTGGGCGCATCGGGGTGCCGATGGATTCGGATGCAGTAGACGCACACGACGCACACCGGTTGAGAAGAACGCAGGCTCTGGCAGATGGGTTGGTGATCATTGCAACGCGACGCGAGAGAGTGGGAGCGACGGTGGACAGCTCGAGATCGTGCGTGGGACAGAGCGGGACGGGGCCAGATCCAGACCAGGAGGGAGTTCGCGCGAGGGTACAGATAGCGAGCGTTGGTGCAAACTTGTGTGTGGCAGGTCGAGGGTGCGAGCTCGGGATAAGTAAGTGGCGGAGATATCGGCAAGCGAGTCTTTTGGCCACAGCCGGCCCCTCTCCGGTCTAGACGGACCCCGGTCTCGCGAGGCCTGGCAGCGCGGACAAGGCTCGAGAGGACGCTTACCGCGGCTCGTGGTCGATCCCACCTTCAGGGCATCCCAGAAGAGCCGTCTCGGCCACTGGGACGCTGGTGATGGTCCTGGACCGCCCGCGGTCTGGGCCAGTGCCCTGTCCGTGGCCAGTCCGTCGCGGTCCACAAAGGCGGCCTATATATCCGCCCCTCTCGGTCGTCACACCCACTCTCCTGCTGCCCTCGATGCTTGCGTGCATGTCCCCCGCTCTCGCGCCCTCGCTCAAACGCCCTCGCGGCCTCTGGAAGCAGCGCCGCGAACTCGCACCCGCCTTCATCTGGCCCAATCTCGATCAGGCAGCCTCTTCCCACGCCTTCCGCGTCTCCCTATCGCCCTCGCCCCCGCCCCCGCCCTCTTTGCTCTCCCTCCACATCCCTTCGCCCGACGAACACAAACGACAACGACGACAACGGCAACGACGACGAGTTAGACGAGTTGGACGACCGCAGCGACCGCTCTTCGGCCTCGTCCGCGTCTTGCAAGCGCCGCAGGCTCTTGGGCCACTTCTCCTTCTGCTCAGACTCGGGCTCAGAACCTAGCCCGGCCTCGTCCCTGCCTTCGCCCACGACCTCGCCCACGCTTCCCACCCGCGCCCCGCTCGACCCTCTTCCCGGCCTCGCCCTGAAGCATGTCTTGACGCCCCTGGTGTGCCCAAGCCCCAGCCCTCGCCTCAAGCGCCCCCCGTCCATGGCCCCAGAGCCCATCTCGCGCGCAACTTCCACCGCCTCAACACTCTCCTTTGCCTCGCACGCCCACTCGCATCCCCACTCTGCCGACTATGAGGACTGGGAGAACCTCAAGGAGCTCTTTGCCCGCGCCGCAGAGCGCTACGATGGTGCGTCTCCAGCCCCTGTCATGCCCCACTCGTCCCTCGCACACCCTCGATCGTCGCCCACGACGCTCACTCCCGCGCCGTTCAGCCGACGATCTACCAGAGGCCGTCGCACTTCTCCGCGCCGTCCTTCGTGAATGCCACCGCTTTCTCATCGACCACCCCGACCCGTCCGCCGTCTACACCGATCCCGGCTGCCATCTCCCCTCCCGCTCGCCAGAGACGATAACCCCCACCGAGGAGCGCTTTCGTCGTGACTGGGGCGCAGAGTCGGATCCCTTTGGTACCCGGTCCCGCCGTCGCTCGTCGACTGCCCCTCGGTCAGTCTCTCACCTCACCCTCCGCCTTCGCTGACTCATCCTCACCCTCGTTCGCTCTGCCGTACGCTCGCAGTCCGTCCGAGCTTCCAACCGCCTTCCATGCCATCTTCGGCATTGCCCTCTTTCTCATGGGCAGCCTCGTCTCTCAGGATTCGTCCATCGTCCTCGACGGCGAGCCCGACTCTCCCTCAACATACTGGCTCGCCGCCCTCGACGTCTTCGAGACCGGCGAGAACCTACCCAGCCGCGTCGGCGGCTCCTCCTTTGACACCGCCGAGGACTGGCGCATGGCCATCGTGTGGGGCCGCACCCTCGTCTCCCTCGCGGACGAAAAGGTGACGCACAACATTAAGGCCGCCAAGGCCACCGCCGCCTCCATCGCCGCCACCGGCATTCCCGACTACAGCGCCGTCCCTGCCATCGCCGGCTCCCCCTTTTCCATGTCGGAACCGCAGTGGCCTCCGTCCTCGCCCTTCCACGCGATCGCCAAGTTCCGACCCCCGGTAACGCGCCGCATGTCCCTCTACTCGGCGAGCGCGCACGACATCATGACGCTCGCTATGGACCAGTTCTCGCGCGGGATCTTCCACATGCCGCACGCCCACTACTCGCACGCCCACAACCCGTCCTTCATCCACACTCCGTTTCAGCCCGCTGCGCTCGCCTCCGCCTCGCCTTCGCAATCCACAGGCCACTTCACCAGCCCCGCCTCTCACGCCCACTCGTCCCCCTCGCCCTTGATGGGCTCATCCACGGGCTCCTCCGGCCCCGCCGACCCGCTCCTCTCCTTCTCCCGCCCCAAAGAGCTCTTCACGATCGCGTCCGAGGTGCTCGGCGTCGCCGAACGCCTCGCCACGCCCACCGAGCGCCAGTACTGGGCCGCGTGGGCGGACTCGGTGTTCAACCAGATGAAGAACGAGGCGGACATGGATGCCTGGCGCGCGCCCATTCTTTCCGCCCGCGGCCGCTGCTGGCTCGTCATGGGCTCCGCACCCGTCGAGGACATGGAGAGCGCGCTCGAGCGCGGCGACGCGCGTGTCCTGCACAGCGCCGAGGCCGAGGAGGCGCGCGAGGGTCTCGCTATGGCCGTCTCATTCTTCGAGCGCGCCCGCGGGTCGAGCCTCGGCCTGGGCCGGACCGGACCGGGCCAGGCGGCCGCAGCCGGAGGCGAAGGCGAGGAGGACGTGGGCCCGCTGCTCGCAGAGGCGCTCCTCGTGCTCGCGAACCTGACGGCGGACGAGAACAAGCGGGAGGAGCTGTACGCGCGCGCACAGACGGAGGCGGGCATCTTCGACCTCGGCCTGCACGATGGGGTGCAGACGCGATGGAGGTCGAGTGATGTGGGGATGGGGTGGTGTGTATCTTTATTTGCAGGGTTTGGGGTAGACTGTTTCCTGGCCATTGTCTCATCTGTTTCCCCGCTCGTGCACTGCTCTCCGCTTTCGTGTATCATCACTCTCTGCGTAGACACTGGCTCTACCCACGCAACTTTGTATCCTACTTACGCTATCCCTAGCTAGTTTTCCGCGCACGACGCACGTAATGGACTACTTCATTGTCATCCGGTGATGACCTCGCCGTCGAGGCTGAAAGTTGGAAAGTTCTCTCAGGTGAATCAGCCACTCTCCCACGCTCACATCACTGCAAGAGAACCTTGAGAACGCACTGCAAAGTACGTACGGTGGATGCAGTATACGCCACCTATACACTGTCTCAATTGCGAGCGAAGTGAACGATTAAGCGCCTTGAGAGGATGAGCTGTGATCACAACAAGGACAGATTTTACAGCGTCTATTATCAAAATCGTCAGTCGTGCATGTTTTGCCTCTGTGTCAACATACATCGCTTCTCGTTGTGATTCAAGTGAGATTCGTACTAAAATTCATGTGTACATGACTATTAAAAGTTTCAAGAGACTCGGTGGGGACGTGGTCAATGCACGAGTGAAAGGTCGCCAATGGTGGTTAAGTCACATGCATACCACTGCCCACCAGTGCGCGAAACCGAAGCTGGCACGGTGTGTAGCGCCCCGCTGCTAAGATTGTGCAGCGAGCCATGTCGTGTCCCACGAAGGCTAGTAATTCATGTCTGTAGGCCCGCCGCGGCCTGCCGTGGCTCGTGCCTGAGGCCTGACTCCGGCCGGTCCGGATTCAAATGAAAGACCTGCGCACGCGGCACATTCGATGTCGATGGTCTGGATGGAGTCTGGCCCTGGGACCTGCGCGCGTGCGAACGGACCACGGGAGGAAAATTACGCGACGTATCTGACGAGGGAATGGGAAAAAAAAGACGAGCGGGCCCCGCAGACTACGACATACGCGGAGGACGCAAAGCAGACGGAGCGAAGCCTGCGAGCGAGCGACAAGGGATACATCAAAGCGAGGTCAACCTATACATGTCCAAGAGAGAGCAGCGTCCGCGAGCGCGCCAGTGTCACTTCCTATGTACATCGTCGATTGAATACCCGAGCACGACCGACCGAGGGCTCACAGGAAGAGCGCGGCAACCGCGGCGGCGGCGGCGAGCAGCACGGGGCCGCTGCCCACGGCGGGCGCGGAGGCGCCACTCTTCGCGTCGTCGGTGCCGGTGCCATTGGTGTTGGTGTTGTTGGTGCTGTTCGAGCCCTTGGTAGTCGTGGTCGTGGAGTGCCCGTTGGAGACCGCGGACGACGGCCAGCCGACACCGTTGTATGTCGCGCGGATGATCTTGGCCGCTTGCTCCGCGGTCCGTACACGGGCGCTAGCAACTGGGCGCGAGCGGGAGGGTCAGCACATCTACAGATCAAGGCAAGACGAAGGAGGGACGCACATGGGCAGAGAACTCGACAGGGAAGATCGACGCGTCCGCGACACGGACGTTCGCGAGGCCGTACACCTTGAGCTCCGCGTCGACGACGCCGCCCATCGCGAGCGGCATCATCGCGCACGACCCGCCGGGGTGGTACTCGTCCCGAACGAGCCCGCAATGTATGCGTCCCAGTCCGCGTCGCTCGTGATCGCCGCCGTCGGCGCGTTCTCGGTGCCAATGGCGGAGCTCAGCGGCGCCGTCTGCGCGATCTTGCGCGCGAGCTTGAGGCCCTCGCGGAGGATGACGACGTCGGCCGGGTGCGACAGGTAGCGCGGGTCGATCGCGGGCGCGGTGAACGGGTCCGTGTTGGTGATGTAAATCCGGCCCTGGGAGAACGGGTGCTGGAGCGCGGCCTGGATCACGACCCCACCGGCGAACATCGTCGAGTAGAGAATCTCGACCTGACCGGCGGTGGAGAGGAGGAAGGAGTTTAGGGTCTGGTTGTAGATCGCGGCGTAGCCGGCCTGGACGGTCGAGTCCGAGGAAGGGACGAGCGACGTGCGCGCGGAGGCAAGCGCGTCCGACTGCGTCTGGTGGAACTCGGTCGCCGAGTCGCCGAGCAGGTCAGTGACGTTGACGTAGGCGATCGCGGAGTTGACGAACGAGCGGAACTTGGCGTCGGAGGAGAGCGAGGCGTTCGCGGTCATGAGGCCCTGGATCGTCTCCGACGTGGTTTGGAAGGAGATGTACGTCGACTGCGAGGCGGTCAGTTGGTCTATCACAGATAGAAAGGTCATCACGACACACGCACAATGTGGTCCTGGAGATGCTGGCCGACGCCCGGGAGGTCGAGGAGGACGTCAACGCCCGCGGACTGGAGAACGTCAGACGGGCCAACACCGCTGTGCATGAGCACCGCAGGGCTCCCCACGGTGCCACCAGTCAGGATGACCTCCTTGCGGACGCTGACCGTCGTCTTCGACGAGCTCGCGTCCTTGGCGAACTCGACGCCGGTCGCGGTCAGGTTCGACTTGTTCGAGGTGTCGAAGATCACCCGAGTGACCATCGCGTCCGCGAGAATGGCGAGGTTCGAGCGGACCGGCAGAGGGTCGATGTACCCTGAGCGCGAATACGACCGCGTCCAGGTCTCCGGGTTGATCGCCGACGTCGCGAGGTACGCTCCAGACCCGTCGCCGCTGTAGCCATCCGCGGAGACCTTGACACCGATGTTGCCCAGCGTCTGCGTCCAGTTGCCAACGGAGGGGATCATGCTACGGCGGGGTTGCGTCAGCATCGCACTCTCCAGACGCGCGCGGGTGACGGGAGTGGGGACGACGACAAAGCGATGGGACTCACAAACCAGGATACGAGGCGTGGATGGGCCCGCTCTTGCCGCGGGAGACGGAGCTCTCGACGATGTTCGCCGTCGCGCGCACGTCGTCCTCCGGGGGCGTGTACGTCTCGCTCTCCTGCATGACGGCCAGCATGCTCTCCCAGTTCCACTTCTCGCCGCCGTCGCCCGCGAGCTGCGCCCAGGCGTCGTACTCGGAGCGGTCGCCGCGGATGAAGAACATGCCGTTCACCGCGGACGAGCCCCCGAGGAGTTTCCCTCGCGGCCACGAGACCGCGCGGTTCTGGGCGTTCGCCTGGTTCACGGTGGACAGGCCCCAGTCATATGAGGACTTGGTGAGCCCGTTCAGGTACGCGTTGTCGGGGATATCTGCGCGAGGCTTGGCGCTGAGCAGGGGAGAGCAGGGGAGGGAAACGGTACGCACTGACTTGGTCCGCGACGGCGTCGCCGGTGTCTCCGGCTTCGAGGACGAGCACTGTCGTGTTTGAGTCCTCCGAGAGTCGCGCGGCGATGGCGAGGCCGGCGGTGCCGCCGCCGACGATCACGAAGTCGTACTCGGTTGCGATCGCGCTCGAGTCGGAGACGATGTTACGCTTCCGGAGTTCGCGGTTGGCGTGAAGGTGGCGGGCGTGGTGGTCGTGCGCGGGCGCGAAGGACGCGAGGGCGGGGACGCAAAGGGTGGCAGACAGGAGGAGAGGTGTGAAGGACCTCATGATCAAGAAAATTGAAGCCAAGAAGGGGAAGTAAGGAGGGTGGGGTGTAAGGAACGGAGGAGGCGCGAGAGGAGGCGCGTAGACGTGAGTGCAGAGTGCAGAGTGCAGAGTGTGTGGGGCGGCGAGAGAGAACAGAACCGCGTTTGGGAGCTTTACTTAAGTGAGGGAAAGGCCGGACGGGGCGGGGCAATACTGGGCCCACCACTGACCAGGTCCATACGAGATCGCCGGCTGCGCGATCGGACGGCTTCTGCAGGCGGCCCCAAGTTCCCGTGCCGCGAACAAATGCTTGGCATGGTTTCCATCAACTGGCGTTTGACGATGAACCTGACGACCAGCGCACGGCGGGATTCCTGTGGAAAGCGCATCTCAAGCTCAAGGTGGACCATCGTGGCATGCTATGCATGGTGTTTGAGGTCGTCGAGGAGATGGGCGGAGGAGTGTGGGACGAGGTGTCGGCGGCGGGGCGGTCGAGCTTCGTCGAGATCGGGCTTGGCCACACCCGTGTGGGAGGGCGTCTGAGACCTTGATGTTCCTCGGCCGGTTGAATCAGCCGAGATTCGATCGGTAGCAGTCGTCGTGGCCGACTCTTCGACAACTTCCCGAATGTCTTGGTATAACCAACGACGGAGCAGCTATAGCAGCACGCGTGGCATGCAAGAAAACATCCCGGGAGCAGCGCGGCTCAGGCGTCTTCAGCCACTTCATTGAAGCTCTAGCCTCCGGAAATTCTGTTCATCCCCGCTTGGAACAAGGCTCGCCCCTCGCCTCAAGCAGGAGGAATTATCCAGACAGGTTCTCGATCCAGTCCTGCTATGAGCAGCACCCGAGTACGTGTATCTTCACGCGCAGGTGTGAGGTAATGTCACTTTTAAATCGACCTTTTTTTGTCCCTCTTCGGTCTTCTCCGTGTCTGTTGCCCAGGCTCGCCGACTCAGAGCGGTGAAGAGGTCTTGATGACCCGGACTCCATGCACTGTGCTCAAAGAGGTCGACGACATCCGGAGCCCACTGCGTCAAGAATTATAAATCTCTGCTGCGAGATGCTGCGCAGCCCACTGCCATCCATTTCCATCTTCAACCCCGTCACACAAGTAATGGGCCCTCCACGTACGTCCCAGCGACTGCCACCGCCAACCTGTGTCGCCCCGGCGCTCACGCGCTCCCGGGTGCGTGCTGCGAGCTCTGCGCCGATCGGAGCCGCTTCCACCGCGCCCCCTCCGGGACCGACGCTGCGCCGCAGAGCGCGAGCGTGCCCCCGGCGAGGAGGACGCCCGAGAAGATGATGAGCGTGCGGAAGTGCGTCTCGTCAACCGTGGCGAGGAGCGCGCCGCCCGTGGGCGCGCCTGCGAGCGTGGAAATGGCCACGAAAATGTACACGGAGCCTGGGCGGGGACGGGGAAGGCGGGGGTGAAGGAGCGTTCGATGGATTAGCCTGGTGGATGCGCGTGCAGAGAAGGCGGGAGGAGCGTACCGAGCCGGGCGCCGTACACCTCGCGTGGGGTGATGGAGGCGATGTAGGCGGCGAGGAGGGAGACAAAGGCCCTTGGGGAATGCGAAGCGCGATGAATGACTGCGTACCATCAGGCGACGGAGCGTAAGCCTACCGGAGAAAAGTCCATACAATGCCGTGAACGCGATGATTGTGCCGGGCGTGTGGGAGGGCAACCAGAGCGCGAATACCGAGATCGTGGCAAATGCGGTGATCGGGATGAACACAGCGAGACTAGGGACGAAACGACCGGGCGAGTGAGTACGGAGCGCATCCGGCAGAGCGGACGGAAGTACCATCCGTATCGGTCCGCAAGCAGCCCCGGGAGGATCCGGGACGGGATGTTCAGTGCATTCAAAATAGACACGAGCACGTTTGAAATGTTCGGAGGGACTTGGCGGAAGTTCGCGTAGATCTGAATATAGAAGTACGGGATGAAGAGGACGTAAAACAGCCTTCGTCTGAATCAGCGGGGGATACTCAACAAACACGCGGCGATGCTCACAGGAAGCCGGCGGTGGTCGCCAGCACGTAACGCGGGTCCTTAAAGCCGCGCAGGTCGACGGCGCTGCGCCACGATATGTACCCCGGCGACAGCGGGAGACGCGACCGGACGGTGAGGCATGCGACGGAGAGGCATGTGAGGTTGATGAAACCGATGACGCGGACCGCCCATGGGAAGCCTATGCTCGGGATGAGACGTTGCAGGATGATCGGGTACAACACTCCGCTCAAAGCGCCTCCGCTGAGCGCGATGCCCATGGCGAGCGCGCGTTTGCGGCGGAACCAGTGGCTCATTACCGCCACGCATGGGTTGAACCTGTCCGTCGACCGATTAGCTCCAGGTGCGTACATCGCGATCACGCTGCACATACAAGATCGCGATGCCCAGTCCGAGGCAGATGCCCTGCGACAGGAAGACCTGGTATACTTGGTCTTTTTGTGCTAAAGATAGCATCATAACTCCAAGGACGCTTAGAAAGGAGCCTACAGGTACGAGGACCTTAGTAAGCGTCAGCGGTACTGGTCAATGCGTCTGTCTCAAACCCTAGTCGATGCTGACTCACTTTGGTGCCATAGGCGTCAAAGATTCTGCCGGTGATGGGACCGGCACCGTACAGCAAGAACACCTGCAGCGAGCCAATTAAAGATATGGTCGCTGACGCCGAGGAAGGGAGTAGAGTCGACTCGTAGTAGTCTTGGAACGTCCCCTGATGAGAGCGTTTTTAGTCGGGATGAGTTGTTGAAAGGTGGTATGCCGCGCACATACATATGAGTTGATCATGCCGGCCGACGCAAAGAGCGCGGATGTGGAACCCAGCAGAACAGTCCAAGCGCCCATACCGCCGTCTGGGACATACTCCTCCTCGAGGACCACAGGTCTGCTGGCAATCCTAACGGCGGCGGCGAAGTCCGCGGGGTCTTGAACGGCGTGCACCAGCTCACCGACCTCCGCGCCTGGGAGCTCTTTTTCATGTGAAGGCGTGTCTTGTTTCCTAGGATGAACCATTAAGGACATCTGTGAGTGGGTGATGGAGAGGAGCAGATCGCCGGAGGGGCGACAGGGAGAGGTGTCGCAGGAAGGAAGGCTTGCCGTGTGCGTCGTGGACTTGTGGAAGCTTATACGTCCTCAAGAGATAGCATGACGAATCTTCTTCGGTGCTTAGAAAGCCGCTGCAAAGTCAGTTCAGCCCGTCTGCGCGGATCCCGGAGCCAGCGGCTTGACAGTGGCTATTGCCTGCGCACGACATGCGCATCGTCCACGAATACACTGCAGAACAGAAAGACTGCACGAGAGGTGGAACGTACAACGATGTTGGCCTGAGGCGTCATGCATCAGCCCCGCGAATCATAGATTGGGCCGTTCCCGACTGTGCGCATGACTGCAGCAACGGCCCGACGAGGCATGTGAGTCGTGCCAGCACACTGCGGCCGGGGGACGACCTACGCAAGAAAAGGATGAACGTTAACTGGAAAAAAGATTTTAAGAGCACGCACCACAGAGCTCCGAGGCCACAGACATTTCAAGTAGCTGTTGAACCGAAAGGATCACCGAGCCCAACCTCCGTTGTGCGACTGCTCAAATGAGCGCCCTGTAGTCGGACCGGCGAAGTGCTTATTACATAAGCGGCTCCATACCGGCCGGGCCTGGCCAACGCGGTCGTGGGAGCGAAGAGAAAGCAAGGCGTAGGGAGAGCGCAAATTCGGTAGCCAATGGGCGGGGTCGCTGCTTGTGGTGCTACGGGATCCGACCCGCGTATTGCTTAGTCTCCCCTAGGCAGACCTTCCACATACAAAGGTCTGCTAGCGTTCGCGCCCGAAAACCCGTAGCTCTGCGGAGTTTGAAAATCCATCGTCCTGATGCGGAAGGCCCTTCTAAAACAGGCAGGCGTTACTGGATTTGGGAGGGTGCACATGATGTGCCTTGTCAGGTGTCTGTTCGAGTGCGCGCGCGCGCGCGAGAGAGCTGAGATCGGACGGCGCGCGTCCTGCAGGCCCTCCACTCGCTCCTCCACCACCGCGTCCGACGCGTTTCCTCTCCTCGCGATGTCTTCATGGCATGTGCGCTGGGATTCCACACCCAATGGCTCGTCATTCCGGCCCTACTCGCCTCCCAATGCCAGTCCGGTTCCACCCTCTTCTCCAACTACTCCGCTACACACAGTCTCCTCCCATATCGCTCTCGCCCCGGCTACTTCTCGGTACATTCAAGGCTCGGAGCCAGGGAGTGTGGTGCCTCAGTACGGCGTCGGATTTGTGCAACAGCAGTCACCGAGAACCCCAGGTACGTCTGTATTAGCTCTAGGCGGACTGGCCAGATTCCGACCAATCCGTTTCTCAGTTCGCAAACGCGCGCGCACGCGCAGCATCGCATCGCAATCCGGGCGAGAGCTAGGATCAAACAAGAAAACACGCAAGGAGAATTTACCCCCCACTCAATCGGCTACACACCCTACGGCTGTCCCAGCGTCTTCGATCTTGCCCGACTCTCGCTCTCATTTCCTGCCCACGTATCCACCTCCACCTCTCCCCCCTTCCACGACTTCCCCCCCGGATTTCAAGGCTCTGAAGGAGGGTTCGCATCAGGCGAAGATAAGTCATGTTCTTCACAGTATCTATGAGGATGCGGACTGGACTTTGGGCGAGTTCTTGTATCATACATTTCTGTCTGGGGACAATGTACATCGTGAGCAGAGCCATGCCCAGAGAGTGTCGAGATTTCTGAAGGGGCAGGATCGTGTCTACACCCCTGGTTCTATATTGGATCTATGGATGCGGCACCCTGATGGTGCACTGCGGCGTCCTGATGGTACACTGGACAAAGAGAGGACTGAATGGGCACGAGTGAAAGATACCCTTCCGGAGGATCGCAAAACGGCTGCCTCAGTTCGCGTCGCCCTCACACGTTTCTCTGCAGAGCTTGTCCGAAAGCACCTCATAGGAGAGGCTGAGCGGGCCGTCCAACCTGAAAATGGCTTGCACGCTACACGGAAGGTCCGAAGGAACGGTCCCACCGGCCAGAAGACTGCCGTTGAATGGGCCGATATCGGCGCAACCACACTCTCCTTGGCCTCCGACATCATCCAATATCATCAACTCTTGCTCTGGGATCTTCTGAGCTCCGTTGCGACGCGCGAGAAGGACTCCGAGAACCAAGATGGGCACGAGGTGGGCACGCCGCACCGAGCCGCACGCAAACAGCGCCCCGTTGAACAGGTGAGCAAACTTTATCTACGTCTCTCTCCCTCAGCATTTCTCAACAAGTTCGTGCAGGTTGTCACCAACGTCATCATCAACCTCGACTTCTCGCGATCGAGCCACGCCAACTTGGTGCCTATCTCCCGCACCCTCCACCTCTTCGCACTCAGCACTCCCTACGACGCATACCCCTACCTGTCCCGCATCGGCATGACCACGGCGTACTCTACCGGCTTACACGTCCTGAACACGTTGGCGGACACTGAATCCCATGCCGTGCGCGAGCTGGGAGCGCAAGTAGGCACCCCCATCTGCATCATAATGGACAACGTACAACACTATCTCAAGCAGCGTGACGCTTGGGTCGGGCGCGCGAACGGCATCGTCATCGGCATTGCCGCCACGTTCGTGGAGAACCCGCACATCTCGTTGTCTGCGCTTGACTTCGACGACAAGCAGACTCGCTTGGCGACCAACCTCCGCGCGTCTCTCACTGTCACGCAGCTCTTGAAGTTCATCGACCAGCCCCACCAGGAGACCGTTGGTGTCCTTTCCCTGTTGCGCACCCTCGTGGAATACATCCCGGAGCTGAACAAGTACAGCACCAACGTGACAACATGCTATCGCACCCAGGCCGCGAAGATTCCCCTCAACCCGGCCGGATACCGTGTCCATCCACTCGGCTCCAGTGCGAAGAACGAGAACATCACGACAGAGTTGAAAGATGCTTTGCTCGACTTCCTCGGTCAGGTGGGCCAAGATTACGCACACTCCAACCGCCGGCTCACCCTGTGCATTGGTGACGGGCTCACATACGAACGTATCTTGCAAGTGAAGGATTACCTGCGCTTCCATGACGACCCTTTCCAGAGCCTTGCGGTGGTTGAGCCTGTTCTCGCCCCGTGGCACACCGCTTGGGCAGACCTCAGCCGCATCTTCAGCACTCACTGGGGTAGTCTCGTGACCAAGGATCCATCCAAGCTCGGGTTCAGCGCCGCGAAGCTCCATCGACGCGCACCTTCAAACCTCAAGAAACCTGATTTCAACCAGGGCTTTGAGATCCTGGAGACGACTCACGACGCACACATTCTGGACTGCTTCCGGTGAGTCATGTCCGACCCGAAAACCAGGATGATCAGGCCAGCAAGGCTGACACCCGCATTTAGGGTTTACTACTGTACGGACAATATCTTCAAGTATTTCGCCGACCTGAAAAGCATCCCAAGCTTCGAAGACTTGAAGCGCGATGCTGAGCAGGTGTATCATATGTTCTGCACACACCTGGCTGGAGAACGAGCCGTCGAGCCTCGTGCTGATGATGTCAGTCTCGTGGCGACACTATCCAGCTCAGCCCACTCCCCCACAACGATACCCCAATCATTGTCCACAGACTCCCATTCTTCGTCTGCTGCCACCACATCTGTTCCCATACGTGGAGAAGCCCTCGATGACGCTCCCATAGCGTCCGCGCTCATCGACTCGTCCGGCACGCAGCTATTAGCGCCCACCGTGGCGCTGCGCGCTTCAGATCAGCCCGCGGATCCATCGTCTTTCGAGCCGCCTACCTCTATTGAAACAAGCCCCCCGTCATCGGCACAGTCTTCCCAAGTGGGAAAGCACTCAAAATGCGGTCCCGAAGGCTGTTTCTGTGTCCCTTTGGGTACCTCCTGGCTGCGGTGCCATCCGACAAGCCCCGCTACGACACTGCCACCTAGCACTGCGACTGGTGCTGTTGCCGATGTTCCTCAGATGACGCCAGAGTCTCCAGTGGCTGCTCAGAAGACGACCAGGGCTAGAAAGAAGGCCAAGAAGGCGTTGGTCCCCTTCCTTGGGGATCGTGTCCTCGCCGACTCCATCAACTTCCTACGCGAGGGCATAGTGCTGCGCGAGATGATATATGCCATCGCTGAAGGCGACGTGGGTCGCATATATGAGGCGATGAAGGTCTGTATCACTATCATGAATAGTTGTGAGACACACTAACCTTCAACTCGAACCAGGTTATGTTGTTCACATTCGCCGGATCTCCTGGTAGCCGATACCCCAACTATCTCCTCACCTTCATCACTGCTCTCGAGCTCGAGTCAAGCATCGATCTACGTCACAGTATCCTCGCAAGCCTCGTCGTCAACTTGAAGGGCCAGCCTGGCAAGTTCACTGCTGCCGACCTTGTTGAAGAGTACTTCAACCGCCTCCTTCAGGCAATTGCGGAGCGCAAAGGCGCTGAGTACAACACCAAGTTCATGCGTCACACTGTGTCACGAAACCTCTATCATCTCTCGCGTCTATGCAACGATATGAACGAGAGTGTCGGGCTTGCCATGCGCTCTGGTCGACACACCGCCCCACGCCGCCTTGCCGACATCCGCATTCTCACGGACGAGTTTCGGCGTCAGCAGCTTCACCTCCGGCGCCCTGGTCGCACATTCACACCTGACGACGAGAACCAGAACGTTAAGCCTAGCAACTTTCGAAGTGGTGTCATCAAACTGCGTACGAAGAAGCTGAAACAGTGGATCCACAGCTCGAACTCATCCCGAGGAGCCACCACCACCTCGACTGCACCCGTGAGCTCGGCAGTTTGCGATGATGAGTCCGACGACTCAGATGAGGATCTCCCAGCCACTGCAGAAGAGCTCATTCAGTCGCTCGACAATGGGATTCCTACGTGGGAGCTTCAAGACGGCAAGCTTGTTCATGACGAGATTAACATCGACGACGAGGCTGTGCGCATGCTGGAAGGCACCGACGACCCGACTTTGGTGGATGATGGTTTAGTTAATGTGGCAAGTAACGGGGAGGCGAGTTGTGCAGATGACATGTAAGCTACTGACGGGTACGGTAGAAAACCAGCTTGTTGCCCGGTTCTGTGATGCGCACATGCCAGCTCTGGTTAGGTTGCGACTCTCCCGACACGTTGCTTGAACCCTCGGTGGCCGTGATTGTAGCAGCCTCAGCGGCAGCCTTGGAAGCTTTGTTCTGCTCCCGAGTCTGTCGGGATTTCTCTGCTTTCTCCGCTGCCTTCTTTGCTGCAACTTGACGGAACTCCTCTTGCAGTTGTTGGACGTTAACTAGAAGCTTCTCATAGCGATTATTTGTTGGTAGCTCGTGAATTCCGGGTGCGATCTGGCGGAGAGAGTTCTCATCACAGATGTCCCAGATGTTGTCAAGGATGTTGTCAAGTGCGTCATCTGGGAAGAGCTCTTCCTCGGGAAAGAAATCTTCAAGATATTCATCTGCAGCCAATCTGAATGCTCTCCGAACAGCACGAAGCTTGGCACGACCGCTCTCCTTCATGTCTTGTGTGATGTATGGCCGTTCTGGTGTGCCCTTCTGACCCGTGCGACCTTGAGTTGTGAAAGAGACACATCTCAGTATACTGTTCGGTATTGAGTCAATATGTTGTAGGGCTCACCTGGTACCTTAGGAGGCACAGTATCTGTTTGATAGTACGAAGAACATCCACTGCAGTTGCATGGAACCACACGTTCTGCCGGTGGACTCTCACAGCACGTGCGACAAGTGCAGGCGGTGTCCTCGCTGGGGTTGTCGAATGCCTCATCGATGGCAGTGACCTTGCATGCGGCAAGCACAAGCTTGGCTACACCGAGATCCACTGTACTAGCCTGTGACGGAGCATCCGAGGGTTGCTTTGGTGTTGAAGTACCACCCCTCTTCCGTTGAGCGTCTTTAGCAGCCTGCCAGTCATGGAGTGTCTTGTCGCATAATGGGTCATCGGGAAGAGCAGCTTGACAAAGCTCAAGAGTGTTTTGTGGGAGGTAGACGATGAGCCTTGACCCCTTCTCTCGGCCATCCCGAACTCGTCCAGCCTTCTGCAAGAGGCTCTCTAGATCGTCAGGTAAAGCCCCCTCGAAGATGATGACGTCATCAACCTCGCGAACATCTATGCCGATGGATAGAGCATCAGTCGCAAGTACAACCAAGTGGCCCTGACTTGAACGGAGCCGAGCGAGTGTCGCAGTGTTATAGGACTCCCAGTTGAGACTGTGGTAGGACCGGACCCGTTCGCTTTGAGTTGCAGAGCTAGCCTGACCTGATGAGAGCTTCGAGGTGAGGTACGACTGGATTTGATGTGTGAATTTGATTGTGCGGCAGAATATAAGAATATTGCGAGGTGCGGCAAGCACCCAGTCGAGTTCCGGGAAACTGGTGGAGCTAGCTGAGGACTTCATCATCCGGAGGTCGAACTGGAGGTCATGACGCGCATTTGATCGTCGCAGAACATGGAAGTATCCCTCGTGAAGTCCGAGAGAGTTGCAGACAGAACGGAATGGAGAGGCCTCACGACGGTCCGTGACAGAGGCTCCGCGCAGAGTGGCAGTCAGCGCGATGAGCACTGGTGAGTGGTTGAACCGTGCGCGCAATGGTCCGATGTGCTGGAAGTCTTGCCGGAACGTTTTCCCCCACGTATTGAGCAGGTGTGCTTCATCGACCCCGATAGCGACTACCCGGCTTTGGTAGGACGGAACCTTGAGCAAATTCTCGAAGCCCTTTGATGTGAGCTGCTCAGGCGCAATGATGAGAGCATCGTAGTCTGATGCGGCAGACCAAAGGTTGCTGTTCTTGCTGCGCAAGCCTTCATCGAGGGTGTTCTTGTTGATTACTAACGGCCGGAGACCAACAGCGGAGAACTTGGCTGCCTTCAGAGCCAACGTGTTTGAATGGGTGCAATGTGTCTAAAACAGAATACACGTACCATATCCCCTTGCAATGCCATTGTCGGACACACTACAACCATTGCTGCCCGACGTCGGAAGTGCTCAGGGGGAGGCTGGGGACAGAGGGATGGTCGCCGCATCACAGCTTGCATAACGAGGAGATACATGGTGAGGAACCCGGTCTTCCCTGACCCTGTTGGGGTGATCGCGAGAAGGTCGGTCTTGTCGAGGGCGTGGGTGATCCCATCGAGTTGGTAGTCGTGAGGATCAAAGGGAACTCGAGCGCAGATTATCCGTCGGCACAATGCACGGCCTTCTGAGGTGCTGAATTTGAAGGAAGAGAGCGCATGTGGACGAGGGACGGTGAGAGTAGATGTCATTATGTACGCATGCTAAGGTAGCGGGGGGAAAGAGTGGATGGGAGTACGGAACTGAGGGCGCGACGACGACGAGAATGGACGAGCCGGCCAGCGCTTCTATCGCGCGTCGCGTCCTCGCGCGCGCGCGCGCGCGCGCCGCGCGTTCGAACGCGGTCGTGTATAGATCACGTGGATGCGGAGATTAAAATTTATGCTGACTAAGGGGACCTACGGTCCCAGGCCTCAAACGCATGCAGACTACGTATTGCTACTATGAAGGCGGGCCCGAGAACGCGAAAGCATCGTCAAGCAAGGTGATGAATGCAAAATGAATTCATGTGGAAGGCGCCGCAAGGAGCGCCCGTCCCTCACCTGCGCCGCGCTATCGGCATCTAATCTCGCAGATAGGCGCATGCGCAAGTCGTAGACGGCTTGTTCAATCTCTCCATATCCCTCTCGTCATTACACTCTCTTCTCAATCGATCCATTGCCTCACCTATCTATGCCGCGGTAGTTCCGAAATTGACAAAACGTTTGCTCCTGCGCCAGGATCTACTTCTATAACGAATGGAGCTCTGGGTGGCAGTACGGGGTAGAGGGCAGGCGATAGGGCCGCACGCCTGTTTCATCGTGGCCTGCGAGACCCTGGCGGAGAGGTTGCCAGGAACGGGATACATCTGGTGAGTATCTCGCGTACTCCTTGCCACACCCGCATGCACGAAGCCCGCATCGGTGTGGCTTTAGGTTTGTCGTGGAGATCCTGAAGCAAATCTTGCTATTGCGCGTCACGAACTCTCGAATGTCCTCAGAGACACCGTCGCGTAAGCTCTCAGGCTCCCCTCTGCGTTTTATGCGCGTTTATGCACCATGTGTTTCTTCGACCACATCCATCACCATGATATCAGAGGAAAGAGGGATACCTCGCTGCCTTGAGGACCTCATCGTTGGAAGAAGAGCTCCGGAATTGTCAAATTCCGTGCTTCTGTGCGCCTCGTTCGCTCACATCTCTTTCTGACTAGGATCCCGCCATCTATCGTCTACGATCAATTGGCCCCAGCAACTCTCGCGCGCTTCCATGCCATACGTGGGGGCCAGGCTCCTGCGGCGGCTCAAGTCACCTCGCTGGCTCAGCGGCTTCCCTGAAACACAATCCCAGCAGGGTATCGCCGTACGGTACGCGAAAGCGTGCCAGTACTTCTCGTGTCTAATGCTTTGGGGACACCACAAACGCCACGTGTCTTGTACGCCGAATGTCGTGGTCCGTGGATGGGCGCACACGAGAACGGTCACGACGCTGCTATGCGTTTCAAAGGGTTTTACAGAGGATTTTTAATGGGCGCGGCGGGTGGTGGCGCGCTCTGCGCATCTCGACATTATCCACAGTGTATGTCTTCGCTATTTTCTGTCACTTGATGTTTATTGAAATTTGGAGATCACGAACTTTGTTCGGCGCCCTCCAGCGCTGCCTCCTCCAGAGACGCGGGGCATGTCAGACAGTTACTGCGAGTGCATCATGCTCCTAGATGCGACTACTTACGATAGATGTGATTGCATACAGATTCCCGTCCGCCGCCGAACCCCCGCCAGAATCAGGGTTCAGACGCGGGACGCGCATCGTGACCGAATGCGTGCCTGGTAGACCGGCCAATCGCGTAAGTTTCCCTCTATTGAACCCCTTCTCAAGACTATTCTGAAGCGTAGACATGTGACAGGGGAATGCCGTCACGCACAAGTTCCGGTTCTACACGTCACATTTACATGGGTTCTGAACCTCACACTGGATAGCAGTCAAGCAAAACAATTTCGAAGTAAACTTTGTGGTAGGTCTCACCTGCTGTCGTTCGTGCTCGTACCGCGCGGAGCCGCTTCTGTGGCCCACTTCTAAAGTTCTAACACATGTTTTTAGCCTGCCGCCATATGAAGGTTATCAGCGGTGGATCACCTGCAGCACCGCCGCGGTGGAACGACGGCACCTCAGGGTGTGATGGTGTGTCGACTGCCTTCCATGCATTACCGTCATCCCCATGCGTTTGATATGTCCAATCAGTGCGCGCCTGACAACGCGCACCTTGGGTGGACGCCATGCTTCTGCCCGGAACATGGCAGCGCCGTCGAACGCGGGGCCGACGTGATCGCCCTCATCTCTCACCTCCTTTCTCCGCTATACTCGCGGGTCTGCGAGCACGCCCACGGCGTGCGTCTTTGGCCCACCAACGTGGCAAGTCCCTGATAATCGCCGACGATCGCAGGCGGGAGGTGCGCCCATCCCTCTTCTCCCACTTCACCTCAACTCATGTTTTGCTGCTCCACTAGTACGCGCGAGGAGAAAATCGACACGGCCCTCGCTGGCGCGAAGACGGCCCTGGGGGTCGTCCAGGGAGTGCTCAAGGTGGTCTTAACTCCGTACGTCGCTGAGGGCGTGAACGTTCTGATCACAATTGTGGAGAAAGTCGAGGCGCCGTTACGCCACGAGCTTATAGCCATTATCTCGTATGCTCATATCCGCCATCCTCCGTTACACCAACACCTTCGCTATCTGTTCCGTAGGAAGTCAGGTCGACCAAGAAAGGGCTCAAAGAGCTGGCGATCGAGCTGGGTACTCTCGCCAACATATTGAAGAAAGAGTATGAGCAGATTCAGAAGAGGACGGTAGACGTGAGCGGACGGGAACAGCTTCAGGATCTAGGCGAATCCGTGAAGGACAGGACGCTTCCTCAACTCCCTGTAGTCAGGTGAAAGAGCTACGAAGTGAAGCTGGAAAGCTGCACACAGGCCCATGTTGGCGTCGATGCATCTACAGCGCACGCGATGCACAGACGCTGAAGGACATGCAAACAAAAGTGCTTCATATCATCAGGTTTTTCCAGGTGAGCTGCATACTCACCCGCTCAGTGCCGTCGCTCACTGCGCGCACACAGGTCGACTGTCTCGTTGTAATCACCTAGGCGATGGACCAGCTTATTGAGAGGATGAGGCAGCAGAGTGAGTGCATGTAATCATTCAGGCTGCTCATTATATGTTGCTTATTTGCGTGTTGGCGAACAGGACGTGACGACGTACTCGAGAAACTACCGCGCGCCGATGCTGGATATCGTGCGTCAACCAACAACGCCAAAAGCAAGTTCCTTCCAGGCACTCGGCAAGAGCTGTTCAAGCAACTCTCCCAGTGGGTTCGTGGCGAAGGCGCGGACGTCGAGGGCCGGTTCATCTGTCATCTTTCTGGCGTTGCCGGCGCAGGAAAGTCTACCATCGCGCGCGAGTTCGCCAAATGCCAAGATGATGACCATGGACTCGCGGCATCATTCTTCTTCGCTCGCGACATCGCGGACTGCTCCTTTTCTTCCCGGCCCTCGCTTATCAAGTCGCGCGATCTCAAGGAGACATCTGCTCCCTCATCGTCGACGCCGCGCGGGAGCCGCGGCCAGAGTCAACAGATGCAATTCGAAGCGGACGCCCTTTTGACGAAGCCGTTGTCGCTGGTCGATCCCTCGCATCGTCGCATCGTCTTCGTCGTCGACGCCCTCGACGAATGCGTCGAACCCGTGGACCGCGATCTCCCCAGTCTCTTGGTCGAGCTCTTCGTCGGCGGTGCGCGGCGAGCACGCTTCCCAGTGAAGATTTTGTTCACGAGCCGTCCCTTGGATGCCTTCGAAGCAGCTATATATGCCAGTATCGACTCTCTACAGGACAAGATCTACTCGCTCGACCTCAGTAAACAGTCCCCTGCATCCGTGCTTGAGGACGTCAAGCTGTTCCTTGGAGACCGGCTAGCGAATAGCGTTCCAGGCTACGATACGCTGAGGAACCGCGGCGACCTCGTCGATCGTCTGGCGGAGCGCTCGGAAGGGCTGATGGTCTACGCAGACACGGCCGTCAAGTTTCTTGCTGAATACCCCGAGGACGTGGAAGACCGCGCAGAGTATCTCCTCTCCAACCCCAAGCGATGTGAGCTGCTCGGGCCTCTCAACGACCTTTACCTGAAGGTACTCGAGATTGCGTTCCCAAGACACAGCATGGAGATCGAGGAGCCGCTGCGGGATCGCGTGCAGACGATGCTCGGGACCATCGCGCTCCTGAAGGACCGCTTCTCGCCGAACGACCTCGAAAAGCTGCTGTCTACGCCCACAGAGACTTCCGTGTCCGTCCTGCGCCACCTTCGCTCTGTCGTCTTCTTCAACCTCAATGACCTCGACGCGGCGTTCCGCCCCATCCACATCACCTTCTCCCAGTTCCTCGTCGACGTCCACCCGAAGTACGACAAGGGCCCGTACCTGGTGAAGACGGTGCGCGAGCACGGACACATCGCCGTGGGGTGCCTCGACACCCTCGTGTCTTCCCTGCATCAGAACCCGCTCCATCTAGCGTCTGGGACGGCGCGGTCAGGCGTCGCGGAGGTGGAGAAGCGCGTGTCGGCCGAGGTCCCGAAACACGTGCGGTACGCGTGTCTGCACTGGGCGGGCCACCTCGCCCAGTCAGACCAGGACTCGAAGGACGTGTACGCAGCGCTGGAGAAGTTCGCGAAGTCGGCGGTGTTGCAGTGGGTGGAGACGATGGCGCAGATGGGCCGGATGGACGCGGTGACGGTGTCGCTGAACAGGGCTGTCGCGTGGCAGGTGCGTCTATCTCACTTTTGGCTTTTCTCCGCGCGTCGGAGGAGGTTGATGGCGGCTTGCTCCACAGAAAGTCGGTCCTGCACGGATAGTGCTGAAGAGCGTGCATGTGTGGCTTGGAAAGCACAGTGAGATGGTGAAGGACGATCCTGAAGCCATCTATCGGTGGGACGACCGGAGAGTAGAAGCCAGTGTCGTTCAAGAAACCGTACGAGAGACCCAGGTAAGTCATATCTGGAGAGCCTCAGCGCATATTTTGGCGCACGTACGCTCCACCCGTGTTTGAAGTCTCATTCGTGTGTTCCTGTAGAGCCACTGCCTGGCCACAATAAATCAAGACATGGACGCCGCTCTTCAACTTCAAGCTGTTCGGAGAGTGAAGACTGTTGTTGAAGATACCGTGCAAGAGACGACATCGGGCTCCTCGATGGTGGGATCGGCTACCTCTTCGACGACAAGTGCACGCGCAGGCTCTTCCGGCTCCGGCTCCGGTCCAGGGGCGGTCTCGGGCTCGACAGCCGCAACGACCTCGAGTTCGGGTGCACCAACCGAGTCAGGCGCAGGCGCCGCGACCTCAGGCGAGGAGCCTGTCCCCGAGCCGGAACCCGTTGTCGTAGAGTCGGAGACTCCTGATCCCGAAGCCCCGATCGGCGAAGGGGCTCCTGCTCCTGCTCCTGCCCCTAAGCCGGAGGCCATGGTCGAGGCTGCTTCCGAGCCCGAGCTCATTGTCAAAGCCACTCTCGAACCTGAGCCGTGCGTTCAGATGGCGGCGGCGGCGGCGGAGCCGTCAGCCCTTGAGGCCGTTCCCGATCCCATTTTCGAGGTCGCCGTCCCGGAGCCGGAGATCCTCGTCGAGGAAACTCCCGCCCCGGAGCCGGAACCCGTCGTCGAAGAGACCCCTGCGTCGGACCCCGCGGTCATTGAAGCTGCTCCCGAGCATAATCTCGGGCCCGTTGTGGTAGAGGCTGCGTCAAACTTCGAGCCCGCGCCGCCACCGGCGATAGAAGCCATTCCAGAGACCGAATCCGTTGTGGAAACGGCCGCAGAACCGGACCCTATATCCCAACCCACTCACCATCCAGGACATGAAGATGTGTTGGAGACACTGCCACGCGCTCTTGCGGGATATGAGAGTCACCTCGCGGACCCACAAAGAAGGCTTCTCCCCGCGCCAAGACGTGGTCGCAGAACTGTCCCGATGGGCCACCGTCCAAAAAGCAGACGTCTCCACGCAGACTATATGCGTCCTCACTGGTGCGCCTGGTGTCGGCAAGTCGACCATCGCGGCGGAGTTCGCACAACGCCTCGGCCATCGGCTCGGGGCCTCGTTTTTCTTTGCACGTGGCATCGCTGACACATCCTCCACTCGACTCTTCTTTCGCACTATCGCCTACGAACTGGCGCACTCCCAAGGCGACCTCCATGACGTCTTCGTTCAAGCCGTCCGAGACCACATCCACGACGTTGACGACCTCCTTCCCCAAGATACAGGGAAGATTCTCTTCCGGGATCCGCTTCTGTTGGCTGAGCCGCGAGATGACGATCCAGTCTTCCTCGTCATCGACGGTCTGGACGAATGTATCGATGCGCACAAGACCGGCCCTTCGAAGATGATCGAATCACTTGTCTCCAGCGTTCGACTCCAAGCGCCATCACTCAAGATTTTCTTCACATCTAGTCCTGGTGACGTTATTGACACGACCGTAATCGCCAACGTCAACCTCGTGGACACGATTCATATCGTGGACCTCAACCAGCAACCTCTTGAGTCGGTGGATCGCGATCTCAAGCTTCTTCTTAGACATCACCTTTCCAACGTCGTCTCCGAGCCTCTTCTCGACCGCTTGGCTAGGTGGGCGGACAGGAACTTCCTGTGTGCCGATGTGGCAGCGCGCTTCCTGGTAGAAAACATCACCGACGTCAACAGGCGTGCGGAGTACATTCTCTCCACCTCAGAACCAAGTGGAGCGCTCGGCCCGCTTGACGACTTCTACCTCAAGATCCTCGAGGCCGCCTACCCGCGGGACGTCCTCCACGCGGACACGCAGACGTGCGAAGACGTGCAGGCCGTGCTCGGCGGCCTTGCGCTCCTCCGCGACGCCCTCTCCCCCAACACCCTCCAAACCCTCCTCGGGCCGACGATCAAGAAGCCAGCCTCCGTCCTCCTCCGCCTCAGCACCGTTGTCGATTGCAACCCCAACGACCTCGACGCGCCCGCCCGCGCGTTACACGCCTCCTTCGCGCGTTTCCTCGTCGCCCGCCCCCCGCGGCACGACAAGGGCCCGTACCTCGTCGACACGCGCCGCGAGCACGCGCGCCTCGCAGTCGCTTGCCTCCGCGCTCTCCTCACCCTCGCGCGTGGCCCGGTCTCACCGCCGCACGTGCGGTACGCGTGCGTACACTGGGCGGCGCACCTCGCGCAGTCGGACCAGACGAGGGAGCTGTTCGGGCTCGTCGCGAGCTTCGTGCGGGGCGCATTGCTTAGATGGGTCGAAACCATCGCGGAGATGAGGAGGTTGGACGTCGTCGACGAAGCGCTAGAGAAGGCGTCGGCGTGGCAGGTGCGTTTCGACCTCGATGCGGGTGGGCGCGATCATGACGCTAACACGCGCAGTGCAGGAGGGCGGGAAGACTCGCAGGTCGCTGGCTGATGTGCGGAAGTGGGTGGGCGAGTATCGGGACGTCGTCAAGGTGCGCCCGAGTGCTGTGTATGAATGCGGGATCCCGTTGGGTATGTGATATGCGTCTCCTGTGTTGTCTGTGCATGCTGACACGTTATCCTGGTACGTCACTGCAGATCGATAAGTTATTTGGACTCTGTTCTTCTTTGGTAACTAGGCTCCGGTGCGTTTTGGTGTTTTCTTCTATGTATTCATCATGAAGTACTCTGTCTTCGTGCATCACGGACGTTGGGAGTTCCGTGGGAGAGCGCGCGATCCTGCCGGCGTCTCCGACTTCCCGTGCCTCATTTGCTTGTGTAGAGTCGTCGCGGACGCAAATAGCCGTATATGTGGCATGATGTCTCATTCCCCTTCTCACACAACTCTCCCCCTCCACTCCGCCGTGCCTGCGTGCGTCTCCGCCAGTGACGGTGACGCCAAACATTTCGTCCTGTTCTACCTTGTTTGTCACTTCCTATTGTATGTTTCCCTAGCCCTCGCCTCGTTCGGAGTGCTCGTCGTAGTCATCATCTCCATTGTATCACTGTATAGCTCACATTGCTCATTATTGCCATCATCAGGAAAAAGATTTCCTACAGAGCACAGCTACAGACTGCCCGAATAAGCGCCATGTTCGGACCGGTGACGCGCGCTAGCGCTGCCGTCGTGTGGTGGTGCGCGAGGGCACTTCGCGCTGTGGCCCGCTCGAAAACTAAACGCGACCCAACTCGTGCTCCTGCGCGAGAACGGCCTAGCGATATTGGAAGAACTGTAGAAGTCCGGTTTGCGCCACAGCATTCGGCGACAGGATTTGTGTTTCTGTATGGTACCATGGAAATTGACTTACCTATACCTCGTCTCAGTGCATAACTATCTCCTCTCTTAATGTTCGCATTTTCGTGTTGGTTCCTAGTGTTCCGGTGTACGCCCTCATCCGAGGCACTACCAGTATCCTTAGTCATGTATACTACGTTCCCACACATTGTACAGTACTATGCCGCCGTATTGTCCTAGATCGATATCCAATCTATCATCCTATCCACCATCGTCGTCCTATCCGACACCCTGTCCGTCATCCGGCGTCCTTTCGCCTCTACGGCTCTCTTCGTCCACTGCTTGATTCTTCACATTTCGCACATCTGCTTTACGGAAAATACGGATTGAATCCTGTTTTACAACTTCCGTAGAACACTTGAACGGATAAAGTGCACCCTGAGTATCCTATCGATTTACATTGTGCTCCTACCAAACGTCCCTGGCGTCAGACGAGCGTGACGGCGCCAAGGTCACCTGACGTAGTTGTGTTTGCGCCGCCTTACTATAGGATGGATTCAGGGTCCTCATTAGGGAACTGAGTATTCCCTGACGTTTGACGACAATTTCCGGCTCCGGCCGACCTGGGGCAGGGGGTGCTTGAACGGGCTCCACAATACCGGGCTCCGCCCGGGCGACCTCGAAAATGGGCTCGGGGACGGCCTTGCATCAGGAAAAAGCGCTCCGCGCGAGAGCCCCGGCCCGGACTCGGGATCGCACGCTTGTTGCCAGTGATGGCCGGGAGAGCGCTCGAGCGCTCGAGCGTAATGACTGATGATATCGAGGTCGCCCGAGCAGCGGCGAGCACCACGGTGAGCTCGCGAGCTCTCCAGAGTTGCAGTGGCTGCTCACGACACCTTGAGAGCCGCAGCTGGCTCCTACCGAGCTCTCGCGTGCCTGAGTGACGCCACGAGAGGACAGTCGAGATGACCTCGGCGCACGGGATACCCCAGGAGTTCGGTGAAAATCTTTATTTACAGTGTGCACAGTGGTTGTACTACTACCTACACAATACTAACAGAAGACACATACGCCACCGCTTCCTGGGTTGAGGCGTACAGGAGCAAACTCCCGCGAGAGCTTGCCACCATGCGCGAGGAGCACTGGTAGAACGCGGCGTTGCTCGAAACGCGCTCCACGGAGCTCCTCGCAGCCCAGGTCTTCCTCACCCGCGCGGACGACGTCATATATGGCAATGTCGCGCGCATAGTTACATACCTGTGTCTTCCAGATCGCCGCCGTGGCCGCAGATGCGGCCCAGAGCCGCTGTGGGGCGGGGGAGGATGAGGATGAGGACACCTGCATCAAGTTGATGTCTGCGGGAGGACTGGGCCGAAACATCGTGGATGTTCTGGACACTAGTGACAACGTGCCAGTCGAAGACTGAAGTCGCGCTCCAGCGCGTCATGACTGTGTATGCCTGCCGCCTGTGCTTGATGCGGGGTTGAACGGGTGAGGAGGAGCTTGAGGAGGCCCACGCGAGTATAAAAACGCAAGGTACGCACATCATCTGGTCTCTGCGCCCTCCAGTCCTAGTCTTCCTGCTCCAGGTGGTTGCCGGCTGCTTTTCCGAACTGGCCTCCGCGGGCTGCGCGAGACCGAGGATGGGGAGAGTGGCGAGGTGGCCGCCGGATTTTTGCACGCATTCACCGCAGTTCTCCGCACGTGTGGGGTGGGCCAAACTCCAACGCGCTCCAGATCTTCATCCGCCTTATGTTCGAGTTCCGGCGCGCGGTAGGCGAAGCGATGGTTTCGCGCAACTTCTCAGTGGTCTCTGTGGGCGCGCTGGAAGCATTCAACGAGGCGGGAATGAAGGATGTGTGGAAGGGTCGAAAAAAAGGAGGCAGGCCTGAGCGAGGTCGAGATAACGCACTCGTTCAGCGCTGTCAGTGACTTGTATGCGCGCATAATGATATCGCAGCGCGATACTCTCGTGTGGATATGGTAGCTGCTTCCCACGCACTGACCAGTCGCCCAGCGCGCCTCTTGCGCTCTGCCAGCTGGCGTGGACTTCATCTCTTTCTTCTTCGCCCATCTCCACCTCGTTTTCTCGCACCTTCGCGTCCTGTGATTATTTGTGAGTGAGCCATCCGACATATTGTGCTATACATGCATTATCTGACGACCACTATCCGCTCACGCCTGCGGCCACTGCTTGGCAACTGCCCCACAGTCGTACGCCATCACAGTGTACCACTGTTCCCACCGCTTACCTCAGATGTGTTCCCTGCCCTCAAAGTCGAGTAGGTGGAGAATGGACAGTGGTACGTCGTGGCTATTGTGACCATGCGTGGAGCTGACGAATTTCATGTGCGTTGCAAGACCATCAAGCTCTTCCTCCCCCGCTTCTCCACCTGTCTCTTCTGGAGCCCCCTGTTTCGAAGCCGATGCTCATGGTTTGCCCTGCGCCCCATTCCACCTGCTGTATTGTGAGTTCCGCCATCCACTTTGATGGTAACTGTGCGCTGACCACCGGCTTGCGGACTTTGCAAACTCTCCGTGCTCGGCCCCACGCCCCAGTTCTCTACCAGGACACCGTTCTCCTCCTCCGTGAGCGCGGCGGAAGCAAGACCCCACTTGTCAACCCCTCCACCACTTCTATCGCCGACCACCCGTCGAGCATCCCGCGCTTCTCTCCATCTGCCCTCATGGAGCTCGACGCGCTCGCTGCCGCACGTCCGCTGGACGAGTGGGTGCTTGGCTCGGTGCGCCTCCACGACGTCGCCATTCTCGGTTGTTGCCACGTCGTGTGGTGGGTCGACCCATGTATTGTAGATACGGAGAGCGGGACTGTATTAGTATACCTACTTCAATATATTTTGTTTCAAACGCATACCTAGCAGCGAACAGAAATAGATCCGGGATGTGAATAATATCGGGAGTGCATATCATGCTCAAGAAGCCTCTCGAGCACTCTCGAGACGAAACTCGAAGCTACTCGGGAGTGCTCACCGAGCTGCCGGCTGTGTCTCCCGAGCGCCCGCGAGGCGCCCTGCCAAGCTCGCGTGCCTCGAGAGAGGGGGACTTGTCACGCCGTGCTCGAACTGCTCTCGAGCCTCGGGTGCACTCCCGAGACAGGTCGTTTTTTCCTGATGTGACAACTGGCTCCAGGGACGCCAAGGACTTGAAGGTCTCCAGAAGCTGTACAGAATCACTGATGAGCTCCGCCGCGGCCGAACCTGAGGTCTGGGCCACCCCTGGACCGGAGCCGGAGCCACTGGAAGAGCCAGTGCCTGCGTCTGTAGTCGAGGACATAGCCGATCCCGCCATCGAGGAGGAGGAGAAGGCGGAACCCGCCGTGTTCGAGGCACCCGCTGCGATTTCCTGCACGGCCTTTTTAACAAGGCGGTGGCTCTACAGGAACACAAGGATAAGTCTTCAGAAACGAGTGGGGTGTACATACGCTGAAATATGCGCTGAGGACTCTATCTAGATATGACTTACCTGAGTCTCTCGTACGGTGTTTTGAACGACAGCTCCTACTCTCCGGGTGCCCCACCGATAGATGGCTTCAGGATCATTCTTCACCATCTCAAGGTGTTCTACAAGCCACACATGCACACTCTCCAACACCTTCCATGTAGGACCGATCTTCTGTCGAGCAAGCCGCCATCAGCCTTCGCCGCCCGAAAAAAAAACCCCTAAAGGCGCACCTGCCACTCAACAGCCCTTTTCAGCGGCATCGTGACCGCGTCCATCCGGCCCATCCATGCCATCGTCTCCACCCATTTAGATAGTGTTTCCTCTGCAAGATCTAGGGACGCCTCCGCGAGCACTTTGTGAGACCATTCGCTCTGTTCCAAGTGGTCGAACCAATGTAAACACGCATAGCGCACGTGTCTCGGAATTTCCGCTTCCACTCGCTTGTCTATGTCGGCGACGTTCGACCGTGTCGTTCCAGACTTCACGCTGAGTGGGTTGCGGCGGAGGTCGCTCGAGCCAAGGATTTTGATACATCCCTTAGCGATGTGTCGGTGCTCCTGTGTCTCATTGATGTGGTAGTACTTGGCGCGCCCTGTAAACTTGTCGTTCACGTTGATGCCGTGAAGGAAGTCGACGAATGAAGAGTGAATGGGACGAAAAGGTGCATTGACGTCACCGCGCTTGTACAGGATAACGGAGCGAAGATTGCTGAGAACGGAGGTGGAGTCCTTGATGCGAATGTCAAGCAGCGGCTCGAGATCGACGGGCGACAAGCGGTCTCGCAGGAGAGCCAGAGCTCCTAGCACTGTCTGAAGATGCAACAGCGTCTCCGGCTCCTCCATCAAATCTTCTTCAGGGTACTCCTTCTCTAGGACCTTGAGGTACAGGTCGTAGAGTGGTCCGAGGAATTGAGCGCGCTCGGGGCTGGACAGAATGTGACGGGCGCGGTCATCAATGTCGTCCGGTTTTCGAGCGAGGAAGCCTGCAGCGGTAGCACCGTAGAGCATCAATCCCTCGGAGCGCTCGACGAGGCGTTCAACGAGCTTGTCGCGACCTTCGAGGAGGTCTCGGCCGGGGTACGCAGTCTTGAGTTCATGTTGAATGAGGATCTTCACGTCTCGGTCCATGGACTCGCGACACTGGTCGTTGAGATCGAGGGTGTAGATCTTCGCCGACGATCCGACGCTGGTAGTGATAGTGTCTTCCACTATATCCTTCGGACGTGATGTGAAGAGTATTTTGACGGGGAAGGGAGCTTCCGCAGCGCACGACACCAGTAGGTTCATCATAACGCCAAACTGCTTGTGGTCAATAGGTTCGGCGCATTCATCGAGCGCGTCGACGACAAGGATGACTGCAGGGTGATGACGTTCCACAGACGAGAGGGGATTCTTGAGGAGATTCGTAGCTTCGTACTGGAGCTGTTGGTGCTGACCGCCTTCGAGGTGTTTAGACACCGCCTTGACGATGAAACGACATATATTTGGCTGGGACTTTGCCACCTGGTAGGCGATTGTCGGGAAGAAGAGACGAGTAGAGGAACGCTCGGCATCACCAGTGGCGAAGAAGAAGGACGCGCCAAGATCGCCGCTGTCGAGCCGTCTGGCGAGTTCCACCGCGATTGTTGACTTTCCGGAGCCAGCCGCTCCTGAGAGGATGCAGACGCTCTTTTCGGCAGTCTTTACGTCGTCCCCTCGAGCCCAGGCGATGAGACTTGCGAATAGGTCTTCACGCGTACCCTCCAAGAACTTGCTCTTCATATCATTTCCCGCCGCTTTGTAACCTGCGTTGGCCCGTGGCAGTCGTTCCAGTGCGTTTTCTGCCGCTGTAGCGAGCGTAAGCTGCGATTCGGTATAGGACAGTGCAGTACGTCCTCACCCGTTCTTCGCATCATTTCATCCGTTCTCCGCATCATTTTACTCGTTATAGCCGCATCTTGCGCGAGTTTCATAAGGTTCAGTGTCTGCCCGAACATTGAGCGGAGCTGACAGCGCTACACTGTGGGACACACGCACATTGACCCGCGTTATGACGGCACTAACTTTGGCCTTGAGTTCTTGAAACGTCTTGGCGTTCCTCTCAGAGAAAAGAAGCCGCGACGCGAAGGACTGCTTGTGAAGTCTCTGGGCCAACTTCGCAATTTCTCGCAGCTCCCTGGGACATGATGAGCACGGAGTCGCAGTACGACAGCAGTCAAACGACTCACATGACGAACCTTTCGAGTTCGGTTCGGTAGTGCTGCAGCCCGCTGCCCCGTTTTATGAGCTCCTTGGCCTGTTCATCCCTCGCCGCGGTGTCCTTGAGTCTGAAGACGCCATCCGTCAGCAACCGGGCGAGCTCCCCAATTTCCTTCGCTAGATCTTTGAGCTCCGTCTGCGTTGACCTCGTGCCCTTCAGAGAGCACAAGTGGCGTACTCAGCGACGATTCTAGAGCGTGAGAGTCGTCCGCTCACCTCTACCTTCTCAATGACGCCTATGAGAGCTTCTGCGGCCTCGGTCAAGTAGGGGACCGGGACAAACGTTAGCGCCGTCAAGCCTATCTTCAGGACAGTTTTAGCGCCTTCGAGCGTGTCATCGAGTATCTCCCTGCGATCGGCGTGGTGAGAGAAGGGCATCTGGGAGGAGGGTAAGTTGTGTCCGAGAGGCAGCTCCGACCTCGCAAGCATGGCTCGTGTCCTGGGAACGTCGCAGTGACAGAACTCTAAATCCACATATCAACGTGTTCTGTAAGAAGATCCCAGGTGATGATTGAAGATGCGTGAAGGGCGGACGATACTCCAGAAGTCTTGCCAATGATCCCGACCTCGGCCTCGACGATGTTCAGCACATGTTTCATTGAGTGAGTAGGTAGGAGCGCCCGAAAGGAAACAACCGTACGTAAACGACACATCCCAAGAAACTCGCGTATACTTTCCCAACGTCAAATAGGCCAGCGTCCTCACCACCTGCACAGCCCATCCAATTACACATCAGCGTTAAACTCCAGGCTTCAAACAGAACACTTACCGCCTAGTTTTTGCGCCTGCTCGAGCTTCTGTATGCAGTGGGTTACCGAGGGCATATACGCGTGTCGCGCATGCGCTAGGATCCGGATGTGCATCGGCTCGTAGACCGGGAGGAATGCGCGCGAAGAGCACGCGGCAGCTTGCACGCGTGCACCTCTAGCCCTTCGGCGTGCGACCTTCCTGGGATGGTGAACAACCGATGTCTGTTTCTCGTTAGTGAGGACGATCCGCATACACTAGTACGTCTGCGGATTGGTGTCTAGCTTGTCCCCCTAGGAGGATACCCCATGTGGGGCGCGATAGGGGAGGCTGGTGAAATGAAGCATGCCGTATAGTCAGCGATGTCCGATGGGATACTCTGTGCCGCAACATCCACGCAGCTCGCCGGACGTTGCTCGGAGACGAGGTTCATGAGGCGGTCTTAAGTTACCTTCAGCGGCTTCGAGAAGCTACTTGCTGAGGTCTACAATGTGGAGGGTCTTGGCATGGTCGACGTAGGAGACTGGCGCAACCTTCGATAGATAGTTGGAAGCAGCACGCAGCAAAACACCAAGTTACACGCACCTGGAAAAACACCTTGCCTTCATCGCGGGCTTGAGGAGGCGGTTCCCGTCCATCGAATCCCGGCAATACTCCTATCCGCCGTCCGGGCATTCAACGCAGACCAGCCGCGGACGATGAAGCATTCAGGAACCCACTTCAGCCGTATCGACGTCTTCAAAGCACGGTCTACGCAGCATGGTGAGAAGCTGCACATAGCGCGGAGATGAGACGTACCTCGGCGTGGTGGATGGCTGGTCGGGAAACGCCCGGCCGGGATATGCAAGCGTTCGTGGTGGGTGCGACTGAATGGGTCTCATGGGCTAAAGAACGCGGGGAATAAGTAAAAGAATACTCACCAGCATCTCCCCGGCACCCTCTCCCACCACCATCGATCTTGCGCACGTTCCCGGGTCGAGGTCGTGCATAAGAGAGCCTCGAAAGGTCATACCATCCGACGGCGCGATGTAGACCTGACTGAACGCACGGACGGGAACAACGGTCACGCATTGGCGGCTCCCTCCCGTCCTTGAAACTTTTGAACCGGACGTGCCGCTCTCGAAGTGGTAGAGGCTTTCATGGCGCGTGAAATGGAAGGAAGTACTCTCGCGGCGGAAAGAAGACTGACGGCCTGTGGGAAGGGAATGGGTCGGACGCGAGAAAGCTTGGGAATTGAGTGAGACATACCTCGGGCGGCTTTTATGAGCTCCAGTGTTTGTGCTCATCCAACTCATCGAGGCTTCAGATTGCCGACGAGCGAACGAGATTCGGTACGCTCCGTTAGCAGTGGGCCAAGGCCAATCGGTGCGAAGATGGAGGAGACTGGAAGAGAAGTCGAGTGATGTGGTGGATGGAGGAGTGGGCATTGCGAGTTGATGAAGATAGTACAAGGCGGCATTGGGGAGCAGAGCACGGCGGGACTCAACTCGACTCGAGCAAGCGTCGGACGGACCGGCGTCGGAGTTGGAGTCGGGACTCGGACGCCGGTGCCGGCAAAGCCCAGCGTCAGCCACACGGTATCGATATCGTTGCGCGACTGTGTCCACTTGACCGTGACGGTGGATTAGTTCGCACTTCTCTCCGCACACACCTTTCTCACCCCATACCTCTTCCCCGCACTTCGGCACATGGTCAATGTAACGGTGATCGCGGCCGTGCTCGCCGCGCTTGACACTCATGCGCAGGATTCGGCTTCTATCATGGCGCTGCTCTCCAGTGCGCGAGCAGCCTGTCTTTTCGGTCCGTCTTTCTCTCTTCCTCACTTCGGCGTGGCCCTTTCCCTACCCCCTCGCTGACCCCACTCCTCGCACAGAAAGGTCATAGAGTAGCGCCAACGACGCAGGAGCTCGGGCTCTCTTACCACCATGTCCTCATCTCCAGCCAGCACGGCGAGTTAACGCCAAGTACAACCCGAAGTTCGAACGGGCGGATCCCCGGCGATCATCGAATCGACCCCGCGAACGGCGACTTCGTGGGTTGAGAGTACAACGCCATTCCGCTCTACCTCACCCGCCGGTACGAGAAGACGCGCGCGATCAGCGTGGGCAACGAGAAGGAGCGGTCCGAGATGACGCAGTGCAGGCTCTTCTTATTCCAGTCGTCCGTTCAAGGGCGCGTCTCCTTCCCTCCTCCGCACTTAGATCACAGCGCTGACGTGACGCGCGCGCACGAAATCCGCACTTCGGGCGAGGTAAAATGGCTCCTGTTCTGGGGGCGCAGTTGGTCCTGCAGGCTGCGCTGCGCGATCCGGCGCGAGTTCGGGTGCTTGAGCGGACGCGGGTCCCGCGGTCGCCCTTCCACCTTCCCGTCCCCGCTCCGACAGTCTTCGCCGGCAGAAGCGTCAACGCTACCCCCACCCAGGCTTTTCTTGGCTCAGGTGTTTCCCACTTTAGCACTCTAGACACAGCTGTACTCATCCAAAATCACAAACCATTCTGTACTCAAATCTCCTCGACGTCCCCCGCACTCTATAGTCTACCGATTGGCACGCAGTCCAGCATTCACTCGAAGAGAAAGAGCGCAATATTCCCATTAGGTCGACGAACTACACTCCCGAAACCAAGAAACCAAGACACTGTGCGTCGAAACTCGACCCCTCCCGACCTCTCAGCCAACTACGCCGATGAGCAAATCAGAGGGTGACCGGGATGCAGCCGACGGAGATGAGGCCGCCCTGTCACGAACGACCGTCAGCTAGGCCGCCTTTCGACAGAGGAACGCGCGGGACACGTACGACGTTGTTGTTCTGGCAGCAGACGGCCTGGGCGTTGCAGGTGTTGCCGGAGGCGACGCCGACGACGCTGATGGGGGAGCAGTTGAGGCCGATGAGGCCCTGGACGCCCTGGACGACGACGCCGAGAAGCCCAAGGAGGGCAGAGCCCGCCGCGGAGGAGGACTGTGTAGCAACGTCCGGGTGAGTAATCCGTTTTCAAGTTCCACAGTCGCGGCCGGGGACACTCACAGACTCGGTGGACTGGCAGCACTGGATCGGGCCCGTCGAGCACGAGTCCGTGCGCGCCACGAGGGGGGTGGCGGCCGCAAGGGCGGGGAGCGCAGCGAGCGCGAAGGCAGCGACACGAGTGAACATCATCTTGGACGAGGGAGGGTGGGTGTGGAAGAGATGAAGTAAGTGAGCTTGAATGAGCGATGGAGAGCTGAGGGTGCGTTTGACCTGAAGCTTGCCTTTTCCCTGCGCTGCCCCCTCACTGTTTTATACACCCACAGGAGCGCTCGCGAGGGGTGGACACTAGGCGCGACGCGCGAGCGAACGAGGGCGGACCACGGAGCCGTCCGAGCGACTTGAGCGCGCGGGCGCGCAGAGCGGGGATTGCGCGAGAAGGCAGGCCGCGCGGGGCGCGCGCGCACCCGAACCGCGTCCGCGCGACGTAGGCCGCGATCGCGCGCGCGAAATGAGCGCGTCATGAAAGAAACACCGCCCCGCGTCACCGACACTGGGGACCCGCTACCTGTCCGACGGGAAACCGAAGGGTAGAAGGGCGGGTGCCGTACGCAGATGGGCTGTGCGGTGCGTGGAGATGGTTGTAAAGACAGCTGCACTCAATTGGATGTCAAGGTGCCTCGTGCGGATTGGTGGGCCAAGGGCGACGTGGAAGGTGGATGGGTCGCGTCAGCGCGCGGACTGCGCGAGGCATTGCCGCAAGTTCAGAACTGTCCGCGCGGGCATGAAATGTGGACGCGGTGAGTTCGAACGCCTTGGGATGTATGATGGCTGGTGATCTACCTTTGTTCCTTCTTGCAAAACAAGGCCTTCCCCATGGCATTTCGCGTCCATCGCGCCTGGATGCGTGGGTTGTGTGAACACCTGCAGTGTGATCACGCCCAGACTCCTTGCCAACTAAACAGCGCACAAACTCCCAGGGCGATCCCCGTCTCCGCCCTCGCACGGATGCACGCACGCGTTCTGATCTGGCACACACATCGTTCCTCCCGCCACGCCGCGAGCGAGGAAGGGATGCGGAGATGCCCGTCCAGGTGAATCTGTCACTGCGATCGACACTCCGACATCGCCTTGCCCGTATGTTGGCCAGACTCCAGCAAATGGCCACCAGTACAATCCCACTATACGCACCCAAATCGCCATGACTTGACCCTCGGACGCTAGCGCGCTCCCACTCGCGTTCAAACGCCCACGCCCAAAGACGTCCTGCCGTCAGCTCAGGCCGTTACCGCCCAACGCGCGCGGGACCGACGTCCCCGACGTCCCCGCCCGACCGTATGTACAGCCGAAGAAGGCGCGGCGGACCGTAGCGGGCGACGGAAATCCGCACCGCATTGCGCCGCGCACAACCTATGCCGACGATTTGCGCGGAGGGTGGCTGCAGCGACCGCCGTGCCCGGACGCGAAATTGTCGCGCGGAAGCCGTCTCGTTCAGCGCACGGCCGTCTAGAGCTTGGCTCCCGATTTTGCACACCGCCCGCGCTCGTGCGTGCGCGAAAGGCGGAATCCCCCCGTCTCTTCCTCTTCTCCTCCGCCACTCGGTACTTGGCAAGCTTGCAGAACGACAAAAGCAGCAGATGAAGAGCCCCGCTCAGCGCGCCGAGGGATATCCCGTTCCGGCTGCGCAGTAATACTCCGCCTCCGCGGTTCCCGGCGACGACGTTCGTCGGGAGCTTGGCTATGGCATGAGCGCCGACCACGCGGACCGCCTTTCCACCCGTATTTGGAGTTGAACGAACAACGCGTATCTCCTCATGCCTTTTGAACGTCTCACAGAGCAACTCATGGTACAAAAGCATGCTTAAGTACACGATCATTTCAGCCATGACTTGGGCCGGAATGTCAGTGTGCGCCATCGTCGCAGTCTTCCACCGGCTGCGTAGCCTCCGAGACTGTGGCGAGGCAGAAAAGCATAAATAGGTATCAGACCAAGAAAT